ATTGTCATCTTATTTTAAGATAATAGATACTCTGGACAGGGCCAGGCAGGACTGGGCAGCTACAGACCGTCTGTAACTTTAATAGCTGCCATGTGTTGGCCTGCCCTGGGGCCTGAGCCCCATTGAACCCAATGTGTTGTGTTGTCTTGGGAGTTCCCGTGACAGATTCCAGCTGGGGCTATTTTCTGCCACTGTGCACTGTCTGGGCATTCTTAACAGATTGGGGGGCTGATTGGAACGGTTGGGGCAGCTTGAGTGACAGTGTTTTACTGCATGGGGACTTGGGTGACAGTCAGAGGTGAGAGGGGTGACAGGTGAGCGACAGTTGCTCACTGAGGTGCACCGGGAGAGACAGTGTTGAGAGCTGGCTGGTCAGACATCAGTGTCATCGCCTGTGGCTCTGGCTGGTTTATCATGTGAGAGGCCAGACAGCAGTTCAATCCTCAAACCTGCTTTGTTATTGTCAAAACAAAACTTTTTCTTTCATGCAATGAAAATATGGGAGTTATTTTATCCATTATGTATTGGAAAAGCATTACCCCCATGTCATATATTCTATTAATCAATCAATCTACTTTTCTATAGCACCAAGTCGAAAGTTATCATATGACACTTAACAGGTCTAGTTCTACCAATGAGCAAGCAGTTGGCAATAGTGGCAAGGAAAAACTTCCCTCTATCAGGCAGAGCCTCTAGCAAAACCAGGCTCATTGGTACACCGCCATCTGTCACCTCCAAATAGGCTGAGAAAGTGGAAAAGGTTGTGTTCTTCTTGTGTGACTTTCTTACTGCGGTTTTTCCTTTGGTTCTTATACTGTAGGTTTTGTTCACCTTTTCTCTACAACAACGTGTTGTAGGTAACACTGTTCCCAGAAGTTTGTGAGCACGACTTTATTCTTGCAGACAGGAATGATGGTGAAAACCAATTGAAAAAGATCAAAGTGGTAATTAACCAAGAGTTTTCCCCTGTAAGTGCACTTCTTAATGTTCTCATTAGACTCCACAGACAGAGCTATGTTAATTGTAGGCTTTATAATGCTGTGGTTTTAGAGAACCGTCTTACCTTGAATCTGGACTGTGAATCAAACCTTCTCAGAGATACTGAATGTGTATTAATAAAGTCTACAAATGATGAGCTGTGTTTCTTAGAAAACTATGGAATAATATTGGCAGTACAGTGATCACACTTGTTCATATTGGTGAAACAGCGTTTTTCAGATATGGTTGTAATATCAGTCATTCAGCATTCATTGAATCTGTTGGATGAATTTCTTTAAACCTGACAGTAGGAAACTCTCGGTTTGATTCTGACAAAAGAAAACACTCCAGGCCTCTTCCCATCATTAGAAGCTCAGATCCATAAGTCGTGTTTTGTCTCTTCAGAGGAGGTCTGCTACTCCAAACACATTCTTCAGCTGACCACCATGCTGTCTTGAGCACGTCTCTGAACTCAAAATAACAACTGAACTCATGGGAGCACAATAACTGTACAAAGCCAACCGTCTTCCAGCGAGGTCAAAAGCCATGCCACTTCACTTTGAAAAGCCTTCTTCATCAGCAACAATTAGCTGCATTTGCTTGTCTCTGTCTAGCCAAGGAAATTGCACTTAATTGTGCCTCTGTCTGCAAGAGTTTCAAACATTTTTAACCCTCTTCAGTTTTTTTTTTTTTACGCTCAGTTTAAACTGCTGTAATGTGAGTGTCTGACCTTGTATGGAACCAAGGCACTACCTATACTCACTGTAAGGTATACTGTCTTATTTAATTGGCACCCAGGGAATCAGCCACTTTAACTCTCAGCAGGCCATTGTAGAAGAATGTTAATTAGGTTGACAATGAATGTGTGCTCCCCGTTGTTGGGCTCTTCGCATTGATACTTTTGACAGAGAGCTGAAGGAGAGTCAAAGAGCAACTCTTTGATCTAGAGTGAAATGTCAGATCTCTTTAGACGCCATGCATGTACATTGATGGGCTCAAACAGAAAGTACATATGCAAGAATTGAAAAGTGTTTACAAGGGAAATGAAAAAAAAATGCTCAAGTGTTAAAATAAGGATTCAAACTGAAGTGAATTCTTTAAAATAAAAAAAGAAGCATAAATGTGCTCATTTGGGAGGGTACTTGGAGTGCAATTAAGCTTCTTATGAAGTGATATATAAACATTCTTTATAATATAATATCTGTTATGTTGGATTTTCTTTTGGCACAGTGATAAAAGTTCTTTGCGAGTTGACAAGTCAAGGGGGCGTTGGAGCAGAAAAGTGAGTGTGGTGTGAGTCTGTTTCAGCTATAGGCATACTTGAGCCAACCAAATTACAACATTTATAAATGCTTACACACATGCCGTGCAAGCCTCGTTTTTATTGTTCTCTGTAAAGAGGAGCCGCTGGAGCTCAGTTTTATAGGCTCAGGCTTATGAAAGTTTTTGTAGTGTAAGATTTTAATCCAACTTGTTTTGATGTTTGGTAATCAAGTCCAATATGTAAAATCCAGAGATGGAGAGATGTGTGCCGGCGGGTCAGGGCAGTCACCCCTGTCTTCTCATGGTGTAAGTAGCAGCTCAGTACCTAGTGAGAGGGGGGATTTGAACCTAAGGAGATTTGGGAAAGGTTGTGTATGGCTAATCTGCACTGATTCAAAGGCTATTATAACAGAGACCATATTTTCACATTCTCCGCCTCTTTCTCTCTTTTTTAATCTTACACCCGCTTGCACTGAGACTCAACACCAATTTCAGAAGGCGTAGATACTCTTCTGTGCTTTGATAATCCCCTTGATGTCAGACTGTCTACAGATGATGAGTCTGTTTAAGGGGTTTAGTGTAGTGGCATTGGCCTCAGAGAGATTTTTCCTGGAAAATACAAAGCTCTGTTCTGGCTGTGTGCACGGGCCACAGACGAGCTTGGCGCTGACTTGGATGTTGGCGCTGGCATAGGGCTGGGCGTCACGGCAGCAAGAGCTGTGTGCTATTGTGCCAGGGAGTCACGCTCCACCTTGCGTGCCCGCTGGGGGCACCGCTTGAATAGTCTCAGAGCGCTCAATTATCTTTTCCTGCCTTTCTCTGACCCTAACAGTTACAAACAATCTCTCTCTGTGTGACTGTCTGGAAAGATTGAGTGTGAAGAAGACAATGAAACTCTTCACTTTAATCGGGTTATCCGAAGTTGTGGAGGTTGTTAAGAATGACGGACTCATGGAAACATCAATGAATGCCGTTCCATGTTTCATTCAAATGCCAATAAGGATGAAGGTTCATAATACAAAAAAAATGTAACCATTCATTATTAACTACACTGTAAGAATTGAGACCATATGGATCACATTAATCCATCAGTCAATCAATCTTTAGTTCATAACAAATCTTATCTCAAGACACTTTACAAAAAGAGATGGTCCAAGTCATAACTCTCTTTGTTATATTATTTACAAGGACCCAACAGTTATCCACCAAAGCACTATGCAACATTTAACAAGTAACAGAGGCAAGGCAAAACGTTCTTTTAACAGGCAAGAACCTCGAGCAGGACCAGACTCAAGCTGAACAGCCATCTGCTGATGAACTAGAGCAAAATTATTTTGAGATATGATAGTATACGAAATCCATCTGCAGCAGCAGTCAGCTGTGAGTTTGTGTGATTTGCTGTTCACATCTGTTAAATTAATGTTGGGGCTTTGTCTAGTGGCTGCTTTAATCCATCTTCCCCTCCAGTTGAGAGATGGCAGACACTACTGCAAGCAATCTGGTTTACATGGTATTACATATGGCTGTGCATCACTGCAAATCTGGATAACAGAATGGCCTGTATGAATACATACTTAGCCCTTTTAATGCAAATATGCAGCCGGAATCCATCCAGTTCTAATGAATGTTCGATCTAGGCTGAAATATTTTCACATCAGACTTCACGAAGAATCACTGATGTGTTCTTTATCCACTTCATTGATGATTTCCAATGATTCTTTTCTCTGGACAAGGATCCATCATTTATTTTCAGTGTAAATGGTGACCGTCAGAGTATTCTGCAGCTGTGTGTACCAAACAAACTGACAGTTATTTGGAGCAATTTTGGGAGTTCACTTTTGGAGACTCTAAAGACTGACCTCTTACGTCCCTTACCCCCCTGTAGCTCCTATAATCCAAACTCTGTCAGGTACAGTCTTATAAGAAACATCCCCGTGTACATGAACAATCACATAGGTAATCAAATCGTCTTTTTCCTTAACCGTTACCGATTTTTGGTTTCCTTTTCCCAATGAAACAAGCCGTTCACTCTCTCCTAGTCTGTCTCTTTCCCTCTGCCTCCCCCTTTTTAACCTCACTCTGTCATGGTGAAGGAATCTACCACTCGTAGCCAGCTCGACACGTGCAGTTCAGCTGAATGAATTCCAGTGGACTTTGTACAGTGGTTTACATTCTGGTTTCCTTTTTTCACGTCTGCGGCTGCTGATGAACAGGTTTTACCTCAAGCCTGTAAATTGTTTCAATCTGGCGTTATATCCGTGTGATGAATTCACTGTCAGCATAATCGTTCAAGTTCTACTTCATACTTGGATTGTATACCGTTCAAGAGAATTTGAGGTTTTTTTTTTGTTCTTTTGCTGATTACATTCTCTGTCTAGCCTTTATGTGAGTCATCATAGGGTTTCCCCTGTTTGTGTGATCGCACATTGACATTCATACTCACAGCCTTCTAGTGACCTTGTGTCTTTTGCAGTTTTCCTGAGTACTGTAATGACACAGTAATTTATGGTGGATTGGGCTGTTGAGGTCTAGCGTCCCTCTGTTATGTCATTGGAATTCAGCTAAGCGAAAACTCTTTGCTCGTAACTGTGCATGTACCATGCTCTTTTATGAAATGCCTGTATAACACGCATTGTTGGCTGCCACTACAAGTCTTTCATTTTTTAATTACCCCATACAATTATGATTTTCAAGCCCAATACATTCAACATAATGCTCTCCTATCTCGTCACTGATCGTAACGTTCTTTCTTTAAACAGAACAAGCCAAGAGGGCAGTTGCTTTTGAGAGCAGAGGTAATATGGAGGAGGTGCTGGATTCTCTCAGAGCCACGATAGAGGGTGAGCACATTCATGACAACAACTCCACCAGCACACATCCCGGAACCCTACGCAGACGCAAGCGTTTCCTCTCCTACCCTCGCTACGTCGAGCTGATGGTGACAGCGGATGCCAAAATGGTCCGTCACCATGGACGCAACCTGGAGCACTACGTCCTAACAATCATGTCAGTAGTAAGTAAAAATAATGTTTCTAAAAATCTTTTTTTTTGTTTTTTTGTTTTGATGTTGAAGAGGTTTACTTGTTGATTTAGTTTAAGTTTCCCTGCAGATTATAATTAGTATGCCCCCCCAAAAAGTTAAACATTCTTATATCAAATGATTACCTTACTTGGTATCTAGATATGCAGTTGGTTTGAGTATCATATTACCTTTCCCAGATTTTGAGATATCCATCCCTGAGTTTCTGCCCCCTCCTTATCAACAGATCATGCAACAGAGTTTGGGAAGTAGGCCTAAACCTTGGTGACACAATCACAAGGTGTAAAGGCAAGTAGGTCAGTTGTAGTTGCGGCTTGTTACTATGGAGTACTGTAACACCCTACCAAACATCAGGAGAAGAAAGTCATACATTAATAAGATAATGTGTACATTCCACCAGCCAAATAGAAGAGAATGTAAGTCCTAAAACTTTTGACAAATTGGTTTGTCTAAAATTCCCCAGCCACTTTCACTTTCACTTTCATTGGGAGTGAATTGGTATTGTTCTAATGTTTTGGACAACTGACACTGTCTGTCATGTTCACATGTTCACACTTCCTTTAATATAACTATATATGCGCAACTATCATGAAAACCAATGAAAACTGTATCATTACAGACTGAAGATTTGCTCAAAAACTTTTGTCATCTATTAACTTAAGAAACAATCTCTTTTACTAAGGTAAAATAGATTGATGACCGCGATACAAAGCCTGTTAGCCTGTTATGGCAAATGCCATTTTGTGTTAGCATCAAGCTTATGAACTAAGTTGTACATCCTGGCACTTCTGTGATATTTTTATTATTTAAATCAGTTCTTGAAATCTCTAAGCACAATATAAATGTTTTTAACTCTATTCGAGGGACTGAAAAATGTCAGAAACTCCTCAAAATCTGGAGCATATACAGTCAAAACCTGGCATAAGAAATTTACATTAAACAACTGAATCACCCGCTACAGAGTTCTGCGTTTTTCTAGCCTCGCAGTTTACTGTCGGACATTTTGGTCATAAACCCTGTTGTGCTGCAGTGTCAATGAAAGTGGCTCAGTTAATTGGTAAAATCCTGACTCAGCACCGTGACCTCTTTATGAGTCCCATGTCTGACTGGGAACCCCCTCTAGTAATCAGTCCAGAGAACCTGTAAAACTGTGATTGACTGTCTTTGTATTTTAGAACAGAAATGATTGGGGAGTCTATGTGTCAAGGCAGGACAAGTTATCAATTGTAGTGAACTGTGTGTACCTTCTGCTTTCTCTCCCATATGTTGGACAGATTGCTCAAAACACTCATTAACGCATAAAGGAGTAATGATTGTCAGTGGAGTGTTCTGCTTCAGGAAGGGAGAGAGAATACAGCCAGTTTAAAATGTGCCAGGCCAGTTTATATTTCCAGGTTTTATATCTAAACATTCAGTCTACCATGCTTATGTCTGCAGACCAGTGGTGCATACACACACACAAACACGCACACACATTTCTGCAGACACATTTGAATCACTCCAGGTTAAGTATTACAGAGAAACCAGCCAAGTCTGATCCTTTTAGTTTGATCTAAGGAAGGTTTAGAATTCAGTATTTTGGAAACTATCATGTCATTTTGATGTCTTAACTTATTTTATTGCATGACATCATTATTTGTAAGAACAAAGTGAGCTCTTCTTCGCGTCACTAAACCTCAGAGATTCCCAAAGCTGTATCTGGGTGGCTCTGTCGACATTTGTTGCTAACCTCTAGAGCTTGCTTTAAGCTAACTGACTGTGTGAGATATTGCTGTGATGGTCCAGTGAAGGCTGCAGTCTCCCTCTCTTACAATACAGAAACATACATTCGGGCAAATCCAAACAGATACAGGTCCTGTATCACAGTTTGACTTGCAATAATGCAAAGACGGTCCACATCTGCCCACTGTGGACAAGCCACGGCCACGGCCACACACACCCCCGGCCACACACACCCCCCTCCCCCGGGCTAAGGCAAGCTAAATGTTTATAGTGGACTAATGAGTTCCTGTCAGGAGGCTGCACACCGCCCCAGGAGAGTGCTGGCCGACCGTGACAGGGGTGCACGAGAAAAGGCAAGAGGTGTGGAGGGGAAAAAGCTACAAAGGGAATGTTTTGCTGTCCTCACAGAGTGGGCTCAGAGCTCCAGCTTTGCTGACGTTTCACATTTGTTGCCGCCTCCAGACTTTGGTTTATTTTGCTAAGGTCTACAAGGGAATCGTAATTGGTTTTAATACCCTGTTGATTAAACTTACCCTAGAGGAGACATTTTTCCGTTACTTTACACCTGAATGAACTGTTGCTACTCTAGTTAGACCCCATGAAGCAAAATTAAACCATACAATTGAATTACAAATCATGAGTGAGGTGTAGTAGCTTCTATACTGTCTTCATTTGTGCTCTTGTTTCAGGTTAGTGGAGGTTTGCATTTTTTGTCTGTGTGTTTTGTCTTCGTTACAGGTAGCAGCGGTGTACAGGGACCCCAGTGTAGGAAACCTCATCAACATCATGATTGTCAAGCTGGTCGTCATCCACAATGAACAGGTGAGTGCGGGCTTTTAAACGCTACCTGTATCGAGGTCTCTCATATAGCTGACATCAGCGCAGGTGTCCCTGGGCTGGCCTTATTTCTCAGCGAGGCCGCTTTGAAAGGACACTGCCTGCCTTGTCAGTCTAAAGTCTCAAGAGAGGTCTCCCAGGAAAACAAACGATACTATAGAGAAGGCATCTAGCCACCTGCAAAGACAGCTGAATACGGCTGCTAGGCTTTGCTGTGTCATACTGAATTTCATAGATTTAAGTTTAGTTTTTTTTAAACCTGTGTTATATTTTTGTCAAATGCAAGGCTGTGATTAACAAAATATGCCCACCATCTCTGCTTTAAAGCATTTCTTCAGAGTAAAGGTGATGATCATTCTGCAGATGTAAACTAAAAATCAAATGAAATGTGTCAAAGTCAAACATATAACACATAAGGTGGTCATGTAGAAACTAGGTGTGTCAAAAAACAAGTATCAGATATAATGTGTTGCAAAACAGTGACGACTGCTCGTGTAACACAAAGTACGCTGACAACATCACAAAAGGCTAATATCACAGTACTTTAAATCATTACCCCCCTGTATCATGGTCGTATCACATGAGTATTGCCTATAAACAGCCTCGCTAGAACGCTCTGTAATGTGGTGTAGCCAAAGCAGAGCACATCGGATGTATTTATGAGTCACCAGGCCGGTTTACTTTGTGGCTTTTATGCAGCTTTGTTTATATTGATGTGTAATAGTTGCTCATTTCCTGTTTAGCTAATGTGCATGCAAAACATGTAGCTCTGCGTATTGCCAGATGGCAAAATAACACATTGTTTACCCCATTGTTCAATTCATTTGTCAGTAAAATGAAAGACCATGATTGTTGCAGTCATGGACATGACTTTTATATACCCGGCTGCCTTGTAGCAGATTATCTTGTAAAAAGCAAATCTTCTTCAGAATGGAGGGCTTCCTCCAACAGGTCCTCATTTCAAAATACTGCCATAACTTTGGCTTGAAGCTTTTTGGAGGTGTAAGAGGGAAGTTATGCATTTTCAAAAGGATTTCTATTTTCTGTGTTTGATTTAGGTTTAACTAAATGACCAATGTTTGACATGACTTTCTGCACTGAGGCTGTTTGGAGAGCTAGGAACGCACATTTAACCAAATGTTTATCCAGTGTCTCGGTCAAATCTCCAACAACGTTTCATCCAAAACAGGAAGGGCCCACAGTGAGCTTCAACGCTGCCACGACTCTCCACAACTTCTGCGTCTGGCAGCAGGGCCAAAACGTCCAGGACGACAGCCACCCCTCTCACCACGACACTGCGCTCCTCATCACTAGGTACACTCTCTCCCTCCCTTTGAAAGCAAAAGACAAGCTGCTTAAGAAAACTGTCCTCTTCAAAGAGATCTCACGGCATTGTATGTGTTTCTTTCTTTCAGGGAAGACATCTGCCGTGCGAAAGATAAATGTGACACTTTAGGTAAACTTCTTTGTCTTTCTCTCTGAAACAAAGTCCCCACCTCAAGTCATTTTCAATTAACTCTCTGCTCCATTGCCCACAGCTCATAAACTGTGCTCTAATGAGTTTATGGCAAGCTGTCAGCTAATAATATTATAGTGACAGAGCAGAGTGGTAGAAGGGGGAGGAGGGAGGGAGGATGGAGAGAGGCGGTGGCGGTGCTAATCTCTCTCAACAGAAGTTTTGATGGTTTAATCGCCTTTACACACTCAGGCAGCGGGTTTTTCTTTCTAATAATTGCGCCTCTGAATGTGTTTATGTGTGTTTTCCTGTGTGTTTTCCTGTGTGTGTGTGTGTGTGTGTGTGTGTGTGTGTGTGTGTGTGTGTGTGTGTGTGTGTGACCCTGTACTGTAGGGCTGGCCGAGCTGGGCACCATGTGCGACCAGTACCGCAGCTGCTCCATCAGTGAGGAAAATGGAATCAGTGCCTCCTTCACCATTGCTCATGAGCTGGGCCATGTGTAAGTGGCAAGTACCCCCCCCCCCAACCCCAACCCCAACCCCAAACCCCAACCCCCTCCCATCCAACCCACCCACAACCACCCCCTCCACACACACATACATTCACTCACTCACTCTCATACCTCTCATAGCCAGCTTTGACCAACAAAAGCCCTCTTATCAAGAGATGTAGGGCGAAGTAGAAGCAGGTGCAAAACATAATAAAGTGAAATACTCGACTTTTAATAACATGCCAGCCTTTAATACGTTACTGTACGGCTCTGGGAGTTAACCCTGTGTGTGTCATTTTCTTTAAACGCTCAGATAAACGTCAGCAAGGACATCCTGATTTCTTGAAAAGTGACACATTGTAAGTAATCAGTGCAACTTACAAATAGCTCAAGGTTGAACATTTAGCCTGTTTTTTTTTATTTTTTTATCTGGCAGCTCTTTTGTTTCTAGCTCTCTTTCATGTATCAGCCCTGCACGATGATAAAAGCACATGCCGATGTCACAATGAGATCATATGTAGCTTGTCTGTTGGCAAGTGATAGAGGTGTTATGGCTCTATCACTTGTCAGTCTGAGTGTTTTCACAACAAACAAATATTACCACATGCATGAAACAGAAAGAAAAAGCTTGCGTATCATCTTCATCCAAATGTCCATGTCCAAACACATGACTGTATTCTTCATAGAAAGGGTTTTTTTAAATTCCAAACAGCCTCAAAACTCACGGTAAACACCTATTACAGACACTTTGTTGTAAATCAGGTCAGTTGACGATGAACCGTTAAACATCTTCCTTTCCATCTCTGCAAACTTTCTCTTTTGTTGTCCAGTCTTCCAAAGTGCGAGCTATTCTTTCCGGTTTGCGTCTCCGTTTGTGTGGGACAGTAGAAAGAGGACCAGTGTCTTGTGAGCTTGTGAGCCATTGGTCAAGAATGAAAGTTATTCTTCTTCCTCCTTGTTCTCACTCACACATTCCTCCAGTGGAGAAATGGGACCAGAAAGAGCCAGATGGATGAGCCTCCTCTCTCCCCCCCCCCCCCTTTCCACTTTCAGTCTCGTGTGGATCTGTTTATGCTAAAGTTCAAGCAGCTGGAGGCCCAGTTGGCGCTGCCTCTTGGCGTGGTTAATCGCTGCGTTCAGAGGCGTGAGCTCCGGAGAGTGTTAAGCGCTCTGAGGAAAGCCAGTGTCAGGTAGTGGAAGCCACTCAAGAGCATTGAAGATTAATGGCTAGGAGGCCTTTCTCAGATGACTGCTAGGATGTGTGATTACTAATAGCCATCATGGGGACTTTCAGGTGAGGCAATGTCACTTCATAGCTGCTCAAACATCTATTGAAGTCTGAACAATTCCAAGTTTAGATATGACATCTGCAGCTGAAAAAGATGATATTTGTCAAGAAGCACAAGAAGCAAAGCCACAAAAGTGTATTGGGGTTCTCCTGATCAAACATAAACCCAGAGAGCTAGCTTAGTGGATAAAATCACTGGGACTGTCAGAGATGGAGCACTGGATTGTGAGGCGCTAGTCTCTGCTGAAGTGCTGTTTTAAGCCATTCCTGCCGACTGTACTGTTTGCTGTGTCACTTATTTTTAATTCTAGGTCGTCATGGCTCCAGCAATATGTGTTACTCAAATTGTTATTTATGAACATTTCAGGCTTAGAAATCTGTTTTTGTCTTGCTGAAAATAAGTTTAGGGGCATGGCATGGCAGTAAGAGAGGGACGTCCTGTTCTGAGTTGCTAATGAAAAGAGACTTGACGTAATCCCATTCTGGTCAGGATGCCGATAATTAAACTGCAGGGCTGGTACTCTAACACTTGAATTAACTTCATTATTGATTTGTCCCTTGAGAAAGCCGAACAGAGAGCCGGGGCACTCCCTGATATATGACCTAATTACACTAAAAGACTCTCCGCTCAGGGTTTCCAGGCCAGTATTCTCATGTGTGCCCCTCTAGATTTGGCTAGACAAAATCACCATAACGGGACAGATAGTTTGGAGCTCATGCTAAATCTTAATTACGGTAATTAAAAAAAAGTCTTCTTGATTAGGGGAACGTGTTCAGTTGGTTATTTTTATTCAAACTTGCATGTCACCAGATGCAGCTGTGCATCATTAACTGACAAAGAACAATTTACAGATAAGATTTGCCTTGATGATGTCAGGATCAGCTGACAGCTTGGTGTGTGTGTGTGTGTGTGTGTGTGTGTGTGTGTGTGTGTGTGTGTGTGTGTGTGTGTGTGTGTGTGTGTGTGTGTGTGTGTGTGTGTGTGTCTGTGTCTGTGTCTGTGTACGTGCAGAGCTCATTACTGTGCCAGAGGCTTAATTATTCCCTGGGTGCCTTCAGGGCCTCGGCCCCTGTAGGGTGGGCCTCATGCCAGCCATGCTCTGTCTTGTTTGTGTGCCGGTATGGATTGACCCTCAGCCACAGTCCAGAGCCCAGCACTGGCCCACATCCTGCTGTAAACATCGCAGACATCATGCAGCTGCAGGGGATCCTGTATTTGTATATAAATATGTGTTCATGTGCACGTATTTATGGGTCCTTGCCAAAAACCACAACACCAAAAACAGGACATGTGTATAGGACTCCACTATTCTGGACATGATCAAGGAAGGAAACTTGCTTTGTGAGACAGTGGACTGCAGAAAGACTGGATGAAGTCTTTACTTTTTGCAGATGCTCTGTTCCTTATATACATCTGTTATTCTGCAGAGTTTAGTGGTTATTGTAACTCGCGCTGAAAAAGCGTGTTAAAGTTAAGGCAGGCGAATTGTTTTGGAAGCATTTATCTTAATGCTCTTCACAAGCCAAGAGCCACCTAGAAATGAAATGCTCTGGCCACAAGAGAAAGAAGAAGAGCCGACACCGGTGGCTCTCGCAGGCCTGTACAATGTCAATCCAGTGATTTAATTGCTGCTCAATGATCCGTTAATAATGAATGTACAACTTTTTTTGTTGTTTAAGTAGCTTTGTACGCAACTCCATCAAACATTCTTGATCCCAGCTTCTTGCATTTTAGGACGAATCTCTTTTTTCTCTGTTTCACGACATTTCAGTTACGTCACCTGTAGCTGTCTGAACCCTTGAAGGACACGTTTCACCATTTGTTTTTTCAACTCAAAATATATCTTAAACATGTTCTGAAAAGAGTTTTGTATAGTGTCACATCATCAGGTGGCTATTTTTGAGTTTGGTTGAATCCACTTGATGAGTTTTTAGACTTTAATGGGGATGTTTTTAACTAAGGGAAACTAATTCAAATGATAGGAAATACGCAGAGTGTGTTAATACTCCAAAATGTGTCTGTGGCTGCTTCTGGGTGATCCCCTGTTCAAAAAGGCTGAACACATATCTAGTGACGTTTATCCTCCTTGCTAGGACTAAGGTATGAGGTAGCTGGTAATCACTTTGTGTGTGTGCCTTATAACCCTCTCTCTATCTCACCCATCTTCCCCCTTGTTCCCTCTTTTTTTGCACCAGGTTTAACATGCCTCACGATGACAATCCAAAGTGTCGGGAGGCCGGCATGAAGCACCAGTATCACGTCATGGCTCCCACCCTCAACTACGACACCAATCCCTGGTCGTGGTCCAAGTGCAGCCGCAAGTACATCACAGAGTTCCTAGAGTAGGTAGCAGCTCTCCTTCCTGTTTTTAAAACTGATTTCCTTTTGAACTTCTCGTCAAAGTTACGTTTCACCATTCCTGTTCTAGTCAAATATTATGGCTGCATTCCATTCCCGGGCCCTATCCCTCGAATCTTCAGGTGCTTTGTTTTCTTTTTGGATCAAGGGGTAGTGGTCTCCTAGCCCTTTGGAAGGCCTTTCGACTTTTTAGATGCAGACTCCAAACTTAGTGGTGGACGAAAATTCCCAGAATGCTTTGAGGCAGAGGCATTGTAACTCAGAGCACGACTAAAGATGCAGGGAAATTAGCCCATGTCTTCCAGAATACTGACGCACAAATATCTTAATTTGATTAATTTACAAAGGAATATATTATTGGATTATTATAAAAAAGCATTTCAGAAAAAATGGCATTGTTTATGTCACTCAAATATTTTGATCTGTAAATCACTGTACATTTATTTTCATGTCACATACCTCAGGCTCCAAAAGTATGTCATGGTGAGTGGTGTCCCATTTGTAATTTATCATTTTAACACCTGCCCCACTTCCCCGTCTAAGCTACGCCAACTCTAAGGGGTTTGGAATTGGGACACGGCCTAAGACATCCACATTTAAAGAGTGTCATTAACTTTTACTTGTTGTTATCTGGCCCCAAACAAAATGCTTCTACGCCTCTTGCTTTATTCTGCATAGGCAGGTCAGCGCAGTGTAAACTCTGCTGGGTTGTTATTGCCTGGTGTTGAAAGAGTATTTCCTGTTTGAATCGGGGGGGGGGGGTCTTCCTCGGCTGACCCCAGCGATGGATATTCTACAGCTCCCTCACCCATCTCTCTCTCCCCTCAGACAGACAGAGCCACGCTGTCAAGACGCTGGGCAAACAGTAATCTAGTCACTAGCCTGCTTTCCACTGCAAAACCTGTAACACGGGGCAACGGCCCATTCAGCAACTCCTGGTGAAAGAGTTCCCTTTAAGATGGGAAATGTAACTTATAATTAGATCTTCCCTGGGTGGGACCCTTCAACTTTTGTCTCCTTTCCCTCTGTTAATTGTGGAGGCCTTTTACAAAGGACAGTCTTGTTGACCAGATGCATCTTGAGAGCGCAGTGTTAGGAGACTTTTTAAGATAGTGCGCCACATAGTTTCCAGCCAGCGATGACCTATGCATGGAGTGGTGGAAACGTTCAGCTGGAGACGGGGAGAATCTTGTGAATCTCCTCATCATGTGCACCAGACTATCAGCTTTGTTGACTTTCCATGTTTGCAGACCAGGGTGATATTGGTGTCTCTAAACTCAATGAGATACATAACATACTGTGCAGTTATGAAAAGAGTAAAGCTGCGTGTCAGTGTGGGAGCCGCAGCGGTGGGAAAGACCCCTCAAGTGTGTAGTCAAAGTGCTTTTAAAATGTGTCTCCAGCCAACAATGAGGTGCATTGATTCAAACTAGCACTTCAGCAGCGCTACTCATGCTCAGTGGGCTGACCTGGTCAAGTACGTCAGTGTTTTGACTGCCTTACCTCCTTGAAAAGCAAATTCAATCGGCACCCCTCTCCATCAGTTTAACAAACGAAAGGCCGCGCCACCTCTCAAAGTAGCTTTTTTTTTCAAAAGCTACGTTGAGTACTCCCCTCAGCTACTCCCCCTCCTTATCTCACTGCTGCGGCAATAATGTGCACTGGACTCCCACAGCTGAAAGCTGATGAAAAGTGTCCTGTTGTGGTGCGGTCTTATTATGAGTCAACGGCTACATAAAGCAGCCATTCTTTCCTTGTCCCTGGCACTGTGCTGTTTGATGTAAGCCACAAGATCCCAAATAGAAAACCCAAATCAAATCTTTGAATATGGGGCGCTGGTGGGGCAGTGGTTAGTGCGCCCGCCCAATGTATGGAGGCTGTAGTAACTCCATGCGGGCGGCCCAGGTTCGAATCCCACCTGGCTCCTTACCCCCTTTCTTTGCTCCCAGATTTCAGACTATCCACTGTCCTGACTCTCCAATAAAGGCACAAAAGCCCAAATATAAAAAAAAAAAAAAAAGAATATAAGCCTTGTTGTGTCTTCTGATGGTCAAAACAGACATATCATCAGTAGTGGCAAGATCTATCGTTTTTCATTACACACCTTAAAAATGAGCCTAACCACTCAGACTACAAAACTCCCACATGACAACATTTCTTGGGTATATTCAACCTCCCATTTTCTTAATAAAATCAAGATGGATCCTTATGTACTGCATGTTCCTCCAAATTCAACTCTCATTATCTTGTTGTGTATCTCTAAGTACAATAATCGTTACATGCTGTTGGACACAAAACTCTGAGAGGACAGCATTGCTACAGTATTCCCTCACTGTTTGATCAAACACTGTGTACAGTGATACTCTGTGGCATTCAGACCTCTGCAAAAAATATATACAGTAAATCTCATGTATAAGTAGAGAGGGAAACCCAGTATATGGAAACTATTATTGTTTAGTCTCTTATGACATCACACAACAGCCAACTATATGTCGTCTTATAAATAAACTCACATTCAAGGTTTCCAATGGCTGCCAGATGTGGAAACTCATCCAGGGCCAGAAAAAGAGGTCTTGGATCCTCACAGGCGATATTCTGAACAGAAAAGAGATGTTTCATTTGAAAAATGACCACGCTGACCCCTTCTCCCTCCATCTGCCTGTCAGTGGTTTTAATAATCATTCCATTATAGGTTTTCAGGACCCCTGATTACACAGATGACCAACTGCTGAAAGATGCTGCAATATGGGACTGTCTGTCTGATTCTTTGACAGGCTGCTCTTCCACTGCTGTAATATTGTTCTTATGCAACCCTTACCCTGCCTCCCAGTGCTTTGTGCTGCAGGTTTTTTTTTTTTTTTTACATCATGAATGGAAATGAAAGGGGAAAGAAACAAAGTGACGATAACTCGGCGATAATCCTGGGTAATTATTGGCCTGTCACATCAGCTGTTACTGTATGGAACAGGTGTTTTGGCTGCTCAAATGGCTGGATTAAAATTTGTCAAAGAGATGCAGACGTGTCATGTAATTACACATCTATACGTGTCTCCTCCACCAGTTTCCTTTTTTTTGTTTTTAAGGTAAACAGGATAAAAGAGTTGATCCTTTGAGGCTCAGCTCGCTCTGCTAACATGTTTGACTTGTGTCTTTTCACAAGCGTGACGGGTGATGATTTGATATGCAGACTGTCGCTGCATACATTCATCCCAGCTGTGCTTTTGTTGCCTCTGTTTCTGCGTCACGGCTCAGGGTGTGGCTGAGATACAGCACGATCTGTCATTATACTGCAGTGTTGGTGCTGATTTATGTAACCTAATCGAGGTGCTTTATGATTCCAAAATTCTCCTGTTAACAGTGACATACACGTCGGATTAAAATGTTTTTCAGCGTGCAGATCCTTTTTCGGCATGTATCAAAATGCCGCTTCATTCAGTCTGTGGCGCCTGACTCCAGTTTCATGGTGACAGTATTTACTAACAGGCCATTGAGGGGAAGCGATATCAGTCTCTGTGTTAAGTAACTTCACAGACCACCCACAGGGGAAAACACATCAGCGTCTGATCACGCACAATGACACAGAAATGTTTACTCTGCTCACATGACGGATGATGACACATGTTGATACTTTTTTGGGGTCAGAAAATATTGGATTTTCTTGAAAATATTCATGTGATGAAAGTTTGTGCATGTGAGTGTGTATCTAATTGTCTGATTTTACGCTTTCCAGTTAATTCACTGTATTCTTAAAGGCTGTTTTTTTCTTTTAGTACGGGCTATGGCGAGTGCCTCCTCGATGAGCCTGTCAGTAGGACCTATGAGCTGCCTACTCTCCTCCCGGGTCAAATCTACAATGCCAACAGACAGTGTGAACTGATGTTTGGACCCGGTTCTCAAATTTGCCCTTACATGGTAGGTTGGCTTGCTATCAAAGCAAGCAAACCACAAAGTAAAAAAAGTGACGATATCAGGTGGGAGTAGATCTGAGATGGTGGATGGTCTCCTCAGGAAGACAGAAGAAACCTTCATGTTATTAACCCTGACACATTTCAACAGAGCGGACATCCACATGAGACAACAGATGAACCATAGTCAGCCTTTATGATAGGTGTCATTGTAATATACATTGAATCGGTTTATTCCCATGTGGAATGTACAACATGCATTTTAACAAGAAGAAGCTGTTCACGTATTCAAACCACATGTGGGCAATTAGCATCTTGCACATGTCTAGAATATGAATGCAATCAAAAACAACCGCAAAAACACGTTAAAATATACGATGAGTTCTGTCTCAACTGAGTCAAAGACAATAAACATGGAATACATTACACAGTATGTTTCGCATGTGTTTGGCACGAGCATATTACAGATTGGCTCTTCTTCTAGTCCGCCCTAATGCTTTACTGCCACTGCTAATTTTATTTCCTCTCTACAGAAACAGTGCAAGAGGCTGTGGTGTACAAGTGCAGAGGGGGACCATAAAGGATGTCGCACGCAGCACATGCCACTGGCTGACGGGACCGACTGTGGACGCGGAATGGTAATTCAGTCTACATGTGTGTATGTGACGGATGAACATATAGGAGTTAGATTCCCTATGTTAAAAATGCAAACACCTTCTAGTAGACTCATGATTTAGTGAGTAAAATGACACTTGTTGGGCTCCAGTTGATATTCAGTGCTTGTTACTTATGGATGCAAGTCCATAACATGGACTATAAAATATGGATGTAGCCTCAGTGACATCAATAGTTGGTTACAGAAGAAGGGCTTTGACGCCGAGTGATTGCGCTCCCCATGTTGGATATGATTTATCAACCTAACTTTTGATCAGTCTAGTAACAGCCAAAGCTTTGGTATTAAGGAGGGTCTTGAGCCTCCTAGCAAACAGCTACAACGCCCCCATCTGTCAGTCAAACCAACCACACTGCTTAGCAAACACATTTACGAAAACCTTTTAGGCTTAATATAATCAGAACAGATTAGATTCAGCCTTAGATTGAGGAATTGCACTTTTTTTTTGCACTTCTGCATTGGCCTCTATAGTCGAGAAGATTGCCGCTTGGTCTTCATACAACCACAATGAAATTGTTAGACATTGTATTCCTGCCTGCTGTAGCAATGCCACCTTTAATTTGTTCAAGTGGATGTGGAGCTCTTTTGACTGATATACACTGGGCCCTGCTGCATGTTGAAAAGTGCATCACCATCCTTGAGTTACCTTCTGTGTAGTGCTTCACTATGATGTTCGACAGTGTGTATCATAAAACAAATCACAAGAAACCTCTCATCTTCTTTTTATTGGTTAGCTTTGCATTTGATCGACTGACTGTAACACCCTGATTCAAAGAAGCCCACCCATCCAGTATTTGAAGCAAAGTTAAAAAAAAAAAAAACATAAGAAATTGTTTCCAGCTATGGATGAAACTAGATTGCGTTATCACAAAATATGCATCAGATTGAGATATTGTTTTGAATCACTTCATTGCAGCACTTAATGTATTTCCTCTGTTACTTAATAAGCGTGCTTGTCTTCGCTGGCCTCGTTGTGTTTTAGACAAAATACATTACTGACAACAACCCAAACCACCCATGCAGTGCCGCTTTGAATCTTGATGCCTTTCCCTTTTAGTTGACTTCCTCTACCAAGAAACAGGAATAATTTATCATCCATTACTCTCCCTGCTTACATTCTTCTTGCAGAAACCCATGTAAATGTGGTCAGGTGATGGCTCTAGTTAGAAACTTGAAGCTTTACCCTCAGTGTTGTTACGGGGCCCCAACCCCCATTAGCCTACATGTTCTCCTCGCTCTGGGATGCTATGCTAATTAGGGCTGAGACGGCAGGTCAGTCACTGAGGATACGGAGGGAAGAAGGGCTGGAGGGGGGTGGCGGCAGAGGGAGAAAGAGAGAGAGAAAGAGGAAAGAAAGGGGAGACAGTGGGGGTGAAAAAGAGGGACAGAGAATCTTGAGAGGGAAAGGTGAAGACGTAGGCCCTTTGAAAGAGGATGCCGCCCGCCGTTCACAGTTGAGTCACCTTGTTGTGAACCCGTGACCCTAAAACCTCTTTAAAAGGCGGGTGAGTGGGTCAGTGGTCAGGCCGTAACAGAGCCCAGGCGGAGACAAGCCAGCGCATTCACAAAAGGCCTCACATCAGTGATTCCATCGAGCGGGAGGAAAGGAGGGAGGAGGAGGAGCGAGGAAGTACAGGGGGATGAGGATGAGGTGGGCTGGTGTTTAAGATTCGGAACATGTATGAGAGGAGAGAGAGCAAGAGAGAGAGAGAGAGAGAGAGAGAGAGAGAGGGAGGGTTCTCGTTTCTCCTTAACCTTTTGACCCCCAGGAGGCTTTTGCAGTGTGGGCCCATGTATTTCTAATATCCCTCATATCCTTTCATCTGTCTCCATCTCCCTCCTCACCATGTTAGGTCCTGGATCAGCCCTGTCTGGGGAGGAGAGGTTAACAGGGGATAGCTAACTTCTTAATCCAACTACAACAACCAGACTAAACAGTAATAGTCCTGGGATCTAAGCTCCCATACTGCTCACAGCCTGTATGTAGGGGAACCTTTGAGCGGACACGGTGTTAGTTTAATTACACCAAGTGGCTCGTTTTAATAAGCTGCAAACCCTTTTAGTATCTCATCCTGGTACATCTCCCTCACCACCAAGCACAAAATCGAACTCTCCCGCATAGTTAATCAGGCCAGCAAAATAATCGGTTCAACCAAAAAAACGACCCTCTCTGAACTACAGTATGTGACCGCTCTGTGAACAGGAGAGCCACCTTGATCACAGATGACCCCTCTCACCCCCTGCACCACTCCTTCCAGTTACTGCCATCAGGAGAATTTCTGTCACTGTTGACAGCCAATAAAGTTTATCCCTCTATCTGTCTATCTATCTATCTAAACCAATTTTAGCAGACGTAGCTAAATCAACTGATGTCAGGCTAAAAGAGACAAACATCAACATGAAAGCTTAAATTAGATTGAAAGGGGATTACTCTGAGAAGCAGAAGTTAGGTCACATACAGCTTAAGAATTTGAACTAATAACCTACGCCATATTGAAATAAAGTATTTTTAAAGGCATAACATGACCGTGAAACAACTTAGGCCAATTTTTTGATGCTAATGAATGCTAACACGCTTTTGTTGTTTAGCAGGGGCACTGTGTTTGCCATGATCACGTCATGGTTTAGCATGTTAGCATACCAGCCATAGCAAATCAGATGAGGACACTGGAGTGTTGACGAAAATGTCTCTCTGTCTGCAATATTTTAACAAATATAAAAGGGTGTTTAGGCAAAGCAGTGCCGTAAGCTGAATGCTAACTGAAGCTGATGTTTAGCAAATGTACTGTAATGTTTTTTTTTGTTTTTTTTTTCACTTTAGATTAGCTTCTTCTTGGCATACGAGCAATTGCAAATAATTTGCTAATACAAAGTTATGTTGAGGTGTATTGGAGTGTTGTGAACATTCAGATTTCTTTTCTGAATGCCTTTAAAAAAAAAATTCAGAACAGAGGTTTGATAATAATCAAAAAGTTGACCTCATATGGAACTTGGAAGAAATATCAATGGATCACTAAAGCTATTAGGATTCATCCTAAGAAGCCCCGTGCAAAATGGCATACTTCTTAATCCTTATGTGAATATTTCCATGACAGACGAACATTGTGATTCCTAGAGCCATGCTGCTAGCCATGCAGAAAGTTATATGCTTTCTATAGGTGGTTGTTGTTTTCTATATGAATAAAAAGCAAGACAGTCTCCTTTATTTCTTTATGTGTGTGTGTGTGTGTGTGTGTGTGTGCATGTGTGTGTGTAGAGGCACCACCTTTGTTTGTAGTATCGAGGGCCCAGTCTCATCTTCATGCAGGGGGCTGTTTGAAGTAGCGTGAGTTGAAAGAGGAGGGGGACCCTGCCCCGACAATCACCTGCCCACACAAGAACTCTTTTATGTGGTATTTTGGTATGATGTGTGTGTTTGTATGTGTGCGAGTGTTCATCCTCAAAGTCCGATAATCTGCAGACCCGGATGAGTCTTCTTGATCCTTTTGTGTCTGTATCCTATAGATTCTTTCAGTGTCTCTCTTGGTGCCTCTCTTGCATTCGTCCATCTCTTTTTCCTGACAACATTAGTGTGTGTGTGTTTTTTTTTTTTTGTCCCGCTTTCTCCATTCTCATTTCTTATTCCTTCTACAAAGAAGTCATGAGGTTCAGGTCGAAGAGTCTGGGGTCGAGCTCATGGCTCTAAGGTGTGAGTGTGTGTATGTGTCTCTAGGGGAGTTGTCTGATCTGGAGGATTACAACCATGGCCTCTATGGGGGGAAACTAGCAGCAGGTATTTTCTAAGGAACTCAACTCCCCCTTAAAAGATCTCTTTTGCAGCCTTTCATTAGGCTTGGTCACTCTTAGCGATAACCCCGGAAATGTCACTTGTCTCTCATGAAAAGTAAATATTCCAAGCGCTTAGCTGTCACCTCTTGTGCCTGTGCTCTCTGGGTCGAGTTTTTGTTCAAGCAAGTTATGAAACAAAGCTGTGACCGCATCGGGTAATTGAGGTCAGTGCCCGAAAAGTGGGAGACAGGCACGTCCACTAAATGAAGAGTGAAAAATGTTTGTTTGTATACAAGTGAGTTAAAATAGGGCAACAGGCACTGCAGGGTTCATGGGTAGTTTCTCTCCCTCTCAGTTTCCTTCTCCTCCAACTCTCTCTCTCTCTCTCTCTGCTTCTCTCTTCTTCTATCCCCTCTCACTCGTTCTCTTCTTCCCTCTCTGTTGCTCAACAGGCCCTTTCACAGGGCGCCGAAGTGAGTAATGCGGTCACATGACCTCTTGGCGGCGCGTCTGTCATCCGGTTCAGTGGGCCGTGCACTAACAAGGGCATCCCATCACTTGTTGTCTATAAATACCGCCACCACCCTCCCTCCCCCTCCCTTCCCCTCCATCCTCTCTTCTCCTGCTCTTTTTTCCTTAGCCCCCCCCCCCTCCCTTTCGGTCCCTCTCACGATCCTGCCTATACATGAGTGTGTGTGTCTGTTTTGATTGTGTGTGCAAAGATGCTTGTCGTAGTTTTATGTGTGCTGAATTTTTTCTTTAAAGTCATTAAAGTTGAAGTAAAAACACATGCTCATGCTTTTTTTTGAGTGTGTGTACAATAAGTGTATCTACATAGCCTTTTTTTTTTGAAGATCCCTGCCCTGCATCACAACATGTCACTGCTCAGTGGGTGGTGGATAGAAAGAAATTGCAACAGCACTTGAATAAAGTGATTCGTTTTGTTGTCCAACTTCTTATATTTCAATGTTTTTTCATTTTATTGTCAGCTTTAAAATTGGCCTGACTAAAGGCTCCCTTGAAAGACATTTTTTGTGTTTTTGATTTTTGAATATGATGACCGCAGGAAGAGCTCCCCCCCCCCAAAAAAAAATAAAAATAAGGCTTTCCCAGATACTCTTAATAGGGGCTTAATTTAGTGGTTAGTGTACTTGAGTAAACAGGAAGTTGTTTTTGATTTCTTGAACATTCCCGGGACAAGAATGACGACCTGCTCTGGTTTCAGCCAATTAGAGTGAGATAGTTAGGTCTTGAAAAGTGAAGCCAGGGCAGAATGGAGTCTGTTGGCGGAGGCGATGAGTGTTGGCTGGAGCTCCCTGGCAGCCTGACAGACTTGTCGTACGATGCTGGGATGTGTGTGTGTGTGTGTGTGTGTGTGTGTGTGTGTTTGTGTTTGTGTCCGTGCGTGTGCCTGTACTGGAACTAGGGATTGTGAGACTGGTATCAGTGTCACTCTAAGCTAATCTCTGGATACTTGCAGGATGTTGCCACTTTGATTTGCCATCATCACACATATCTGTGGATTTGGGTTAACAAGAGGATTGTTGTTATAGCATTCACATAGTTTGCTGATGGAATTACTGTGTCCGCTCAGCAGCGAGTGGAGCTTTCTTTGATGGCCAAGTAGAAGGAGGAAGTTTCTCTGTGATTACAGTGTTGTGTCAAAATTTGGAAACTATGTATGCCGTCATATTTCATAAAATATAAGTTTCATTGGAAAATGGTAGAAGATGTTGAAAATGACAAAATGACAGGAACTCCACTAGAAACAAAATAAAAACATCTATCATGTATTAAGCCTCACAAATGTGTCAGGCTAACATTTTAGCATGCAATTGTCCTTCATCATATGGCAAATATGGAACAACAATAGCGTAACCATGAAAAAATATGTTAGTTTCTAGCAATAATTTTCCTTGACACAGCTGCTGCTGACTAAACTTTGCATATAAATATCTTATATTAAAGGGCGATATTATTTTGTTCCTTTTTTAGACATACATACTGTATATGTATATATGAGGTTACAAACTGGGTTTGTCAAAATTTCATTTTAGGCAGAACATCTACAGCCAGATGTGCTTTCCTCCAATTCATTCAAATTAAATACTACAAGTGACACATTTCACATTATTAAAAAGATGATTCCATCCATATTGCAAGAAAATGTACTTGTGCAATTTTAAGATAAAGAGGAATATGTGTCTCAGTTGCACACAGTGGATGCTGATACAGGAGGAATACTGACAGTAAAAGTGTCTCTGAAGAGCACATGAGTGGAACAGCTGATAGGGCCAACCTACTCATTCTCTCTAATGACAACCTTTACACTTCGGGGAAGATATGCAGGAAGGAGAGTTCACAGGCGGTGGAAAAACAGCGAAGGAAACAAAGTTAAGTTATGGAGTCAGAACGGGTTGGTTGGGGTCACAATTGCATCATTTTTTCTTTCTTGCTTTCTCTAGTTTAAGGTTCCTTCCTCCTTGTCATTTCTCTTCCTCCTGTCTTCACGCCTTTTCAACACAGAGGAAAGAGGAAATAGGGAATGCATATCTTCACCGAAAAACATGTAAATCCAGTTAACAATAAAAAACTTCATCATTTGAATATTGTCCTGCAGGGAATCCCTAAGATCATAGGCCTCTCACCTCTAGGTTAAGTTATGCGACACTGGAAAGTGAATGATGTCTTACTGAAAATCCTCGGTGGTGGTCCATGATGTGCCATTTTCACACACAACACCAGATGTTTCCGCTTATTTCTAATTTAATCGTACATTCTGGATTGGACAGAAAGCCCGTCAGAAACAAAGACACAAACGCCCAACGGGACAAGGCCAAAGTGAACTCTGAACTCCGAGCCATGAGAAAAGACAGTGCAACATGAAAGGTGATGCCTTTTGGAAATGGCCGTGTTAAAATGAAAGGGCTTTTTAAATCAGTCCTCTGCCTTCTCATTCGTGCGGTGATGTATGGCTTGGGTTCAGAAATGAGGTGCTCTCTACAACAGTTTCCTGGCAATTACAGGGCGCTCACTTCCAAAACCAGGCAGCTGAGGAGCTCAGAGCAGATGCTGCTGCCCTTAGACACTGTTCCCACTGTGGGGGTTAGCATGTTGGTATCTACCCTCTGTGGCGGAGTTGGTTAAACTTGATTTAGTTTGTTTGTGTGAGATTTATGAGCAAAGAGGCAAAAGTAGTATATGTGTGTGTGTTTTTCCCTTTGTGCATTATATGCGAATGTGTGTGTATAGAATATGTGCAAAATGCAAGCATGTGACATATGTGTATGCACATGTCCTGGTATGAGTTGGTGAGTCAGCGTGTGTCTCTGCAAAAATCCTAATTTGAAACACATGCTTGTCACAGCTGGACAGGTTCCTCTCACAAGACCTCCAAATGTCTCACCACATTCCCAACTGAGTTCAGATTCAGACAGTCCTTCTAGGAAAGCCTTCGCCCATGTCCTTAATGTTGTTTTGAGCTTTGCCAAGCCTGACTCTCACCTCACCCATGGGTGTGTTTGTGCACTTCAGAAAGAGAGGCTAATTGGAATTGAGCGTGGCCCCCAGATGCCTCCAGACTCTGAGCAATCACTCTCACACTTGACACACATTCACACATGTGCAAGCATACACTTACACAAAGAGTCATGTGCATGCACACACACACACACACACACACACACACACACACACACACACACACACACACACACACACACACATACACACACACATACATCATCTCACACAGATGTTTTTTTCCTTCCATCCTCCCCTTTCCTTCTTTCTTCTTTTCACCCACATCACCTTTTCAAGCCAAACAAAACGGTTGTAAACACAGGGTGCCAGTGGGGGGAGTGGAATGCCTCAGAGGCTTACACAGGCTTTGGTCCTCTCTGACAGACAGTCCGCCCTGTGTTTGACAGTTCCTTGGGTCCTGCAGCCTGGGTGCACCGTGGTGGTCCCTGTGTGGCCCTCACAGTTTCCCATAAGGGGATAAGGGGGATGGGTGGCAGGGGGTAGGATGTATAGAAGAGATGCTCAGGTCTGGGTTGACAATCTTTAGGTTGAGGTGTGTGTGTGTGTGTGTGTGTGTGTGTGTGTGGGGGGGGGGGAGCAGGGTAAAAAAAAGAGTGTGCTTTATGGGGAGATCGTTCAAGAAAAAAGAAATCTTAAAATTTCAAAAAACTTTTCACTCAGAGAGGATGTTGCTCAACCTAAAAGGACCAGCACCTGTTTGCCCTTTCCCCCGTGTGGAAGCGATTTCCACTCATGTGGATGTTTTATCACATTCCTCTCAGTGCCTTTATTTGAATTATTCTCTAAAGCCATTGTTAGAGCTCCAGCAGCATTATCAATGCCTTCAGTTTGCATTTGCAGTGGAGTTATACATTTAAAAAAAAAAAAAAAAAAAGGGACTATTACTCAAACCAGGTCTGGATCACAGAAATGTTTGTGGCTTGTTTAGTTTGTACCCTGCAGCTGTTAACACCTGTCTGTCAATGTGCACAGACTTTACACTCCATCATTAGCCCCACAAGTGTGTAAAAAAACCACACACGCACGCTAGGCCAGGATAGTAGAGGCAGTGGTGCCAAATTCCCCGTATGCTTACATGTGTTTGTGTGTATGACTTTGTACTTTTGCAGGTGTTCACCTAAGGGTATGGCTGCAAGTTGTGTATGTTTTCGTAACTGCAACTCTCCAGATTAGCCATTGTCCAGGAGATGACTTTGATTGATATCCTGGGTTTATAAACGTAATTATAAGAAACCACCGAAGCAGATCTCTCAGTTTTGTCTTGGAAAGGAGCTGACTTCTTTTTTTCTTTTTTTAATCAGGAGAAGGAGATTGAATGTCTCAGCCCTGCTTTACTTATTTGGTAATAGCTCAAAATGAAAGTATTAACTTGTGCACCAAATTCACAGACCAAACTCTTAAAAGTGAAAGTTGGAAATGTAGAGCACAGAGCATCCTGCCTTTCAGGTTTAAAGCTGTGTACCTGTGTAGATGCAAAGCTGAACATAGACCGAGGGAGTTCCTGATGTGAAGCCAGTAATGAACTTTGTTCCTCCTGTTATCACGACTCTAGAGTTTCCTTATCACGGTGCCACTGCTCCCCGTGCCTGTGTGCCCGGACGGCTGGGCTACGTACCCAGACAGACGCCGTCTTGTCCCGCATTCTTTCAGTGAACGGGACCCTCCGATATCTTAGTCACTGAGAAGTGGATTTGGTTACACACAAAGGGAAATGAGCCAGCCTTGCTTTGCTTATGAAAGCAGTGTTAGCACTTCTTGGCAAAGGTTGGTGAGTGGGTACAAACAGGTTGATACCAGGCGCCTTCTCCTCTATGTCGTAAAGGGCCTACTGTATAAAAACATCTCCCATTATTGGGTTGTTTTTTTCTCAAGTCTGGATTTCCTCTGTTGTGTTTGCCATAACACAAGCTATTCTTTCATTTATGTTGCTAGTTAACACTTTTTCTATTTGTCATTCTTTTTTCATTTTGAGAATTGCTTTATGAGAATTAACAAGAACACCCTGAAATACATTCTGTAGAAAGTTGACAATCGGGAGCATATTGCAGTATGAAAGTATTTCAATCTCTGGCTTCTCTCGTTGGCACGTCGCGTCTTCACTGTCTTCACTGTCTTCACTGTCTTCCATCCGCTCTATTTCTGTCCCTTTTCAAGTTGTTTCCTCCCTCTCCCCATTTCTCTTTGGACAGCTGGAGGTGCTGGACTCCTTCCAGGAGGGTAAACAAAAGTGGAATTAGGATTTCTTTTTAAATTTAGTCTGAGATCTAAACAGAGGATTAAGAAGGCAAAGGGGAACACCACTCCCAGCTGAGCATTCACTCATTTTACCTTGTAGAGCCATGTCTGTGTTTGTCCTCACGACTGCAGGAGCTGCACTTTAAAAACATGACGTATATCTGTGTCTCTGTCTTCTCACATGCAGTACTGCAGACACGGGATGTGTGTAAACAAGGAGCTAGACCTGCAGCCGGTCCACGGGGAGTGGGGTCCATGGGGGCCGTACAGCGTTTGCTCCAGGTCTTGTGGCGGCGGAACCCGGAGCACACACAGAGACTGCAACAAGCCTGAGTAAGACAAAAAAAAAATCAAACAGTTATGACTAGTGAAGCCGTGACAGGCTATACATTTATGTAAGACCAGTAAGAGTATTATGGAAAAGAGCAGTCATGCCTGAATGAAAGATGTAAACAAGCTAGAGTGAACAAACCTGTGTGTCTGACTCAGTTAGTCTCAACCTGATTCTGAAGCAAAAGTCAGGGAAAGCTTGTTTCATTCATGTGTATTGAAATGTAAACAAAGTGGACATAAAGTCATGAAGCAGCAGTCAAGCCAATACCAACATGGTCTGTAAAATTGAAATTGACTGTGATATCTCTGTCATAACTTCAGGCCCAGAAACGGAGGGAAGTTCTGCGTGGGTCGCAGGATGAAGTTCCGCTCCTGCAACACTGAGCCGTGTCCGCGAGGACAGAAAGATTTCCGCGAGGAGCAGTGTTCTCAGTTTGACGGCAAGCACTTCAACATCAACGGTCTACCTCCCACCGTCCGCTGGGTCCCCAAGTACAGCGGCAGTGAGTACAACAGTGGAATCCTTTTGGCATGTAATGTTCTGGTCACTCGTGATTGCAATCAAATACGGATGCTACTGACTATCCAATAATGCGACCAAGGTAAACCGGCGCTTCAGGTGGTTTGGTTGAATTAAATTTAAATGCTGAGTTTTTGTTTTTGAGATCAGTTTTTCTGCGCACAGGGGTATTAACAGGATTTTAAAAATCCTTGGCTCGTGTAAATCACTCATACAGCGAGTCCACATTTTGTACAGGGGGGATATGCAGGCCAAGACGTGCAAAATTGTGATGAATGATTATTCACATTTGAGTATTAATGAGAAGATAGAAGATGTTAACGACAATTTGTTGACTGTGTGAGGCAGACTAAACACAGTCTGAGAGCTGCCTTTGGTTACCACTAAACATGAACATAATTAAAGCATCACATAGACCTTCCATATGAACCTCTTAGCAGCTCTCTTTCATGCAGCACTGTCTCAGTCCCTGACACAATGGTCTGCCCAGCTACATCAGTGATTACCATCTGGCAAAAACAACCACGTCTAAGTTACTGCAAGTGATTCATTCATTTAAGTGATGCAGTGCAAGAACACAGAGCCAGTGCAATGTCAGAAACTAAGTGCTTCTTCAAACAACAGATAGGAATTTGGCTGCTTTTGAGAAAGAGTCAGCAGAACTTTGCAAAAAGATGTAAACAGGGGGGGGGGGGGAGTCTTTTCCTCAGTACGGGCAAGTTTCATCTTGTTTTTAAGAATAATTTATATCATGTAAACCTCATAATAGCTCGCTCATTGTTTTCTTTCTCCATCCAGTACTAATGAAGGATCGCTGTAAGCTCTTCTGCCGGGTTGCTGAGACTACGGCGTACTATCAGCTGAAGGACCGAGTCATTGACGGCACGCCATGTGGGACAGACACTTATGACATCTGCGTTCAAGGCCTCTGCAGGGTATATCATTGAACACACACATACACACACACACACACACACACACATATATGAGCTTCATCATCAACGTCAGCTGCATCTGAACTCATTCTCACACTATCATGATGTTGTATATCGAGCGTGTTTATTCGAGTCAAAGACACATTTTGACTGTTGAAAAAACAAAGTCCACACAATCAGTCTCACTCACACTCACATGAGTCATGTTTTGTAATCGCTGCAAAGGGATGAAGCTCGAGTTTTGAGTGAAGTGTTTGTAGGTCACAGTCATTAACCCCTGCATTTACTGAGACTACAGTGGCTAGGCTAGCAAATGCGTACTTCAGAACATCATATTTATACATTTATATTTATTTATTTCTATGAAAACAACAACAGTGAAATGCTGTTCCACAATTACATGTTTGCCAAGATTAAAAGATAATGTGATAAACAAAAAATAAACTTGGAACATCACGCTAATAGCTGAGAGGAAAAAATATGGACAAAAAAAAAAAAAAAGTGACATTAACAAAATCACATTTTCAAACATTTGGACAGAAGGTGATAATTAGATTAAAAGCTGTTAACCAAGTATAAGTGCTGAATGGCAGCTACACCTGCAAACCTCATCTTTTCTTAATTCAAGAATGTCACAATGTCCCTGATTTAGAGTCTAAATACACATGAGGAGGCTTTTGCATTTTATACTTAATTGCTGATTTGTTTTCATCAGGGTGAATATCATAAGGAGGAGCAGTGAAGGGGTTAATACTGTATAAGCATGTAACGCACACTGTGTCACATTACATCACTCTACATCTCTCTTCTCCGTGCCTCTTTCAGCAAGCAGGCTGCGATCACGTTCTCAACTCCAAGGCCCGGAACGACAAGTGCGGGGTGTGTGGCGGGGACAACTCGTCGTGTAAAACCCTGGCAGGGACCTTTAATGATGCTCAGTACGGTGAGTCCTGCTGCTCAGATTACATGTGAGATACACTGATGGATGAGGTGTTGGTAAACATGCTATATGTCAACAGCTGAACTATCTGATACACACTTAGAAAACATAGAAGGTCTCATGTGACTGTTACATGCTTGTTTTAGATTCTGATATCATGTCTGGTTGTGTTTAAATATATTAAACCGGATTTTCAGCAACAATGCGTGCGTTTGCCAAATTTGGGGAAATGCTTTCTAAACTGATTAACTCAGCGATCTCACTGTGTCAGTTCTTTTTGATAGCAAAAAACAAATCTAACATCACCCCTTTGAACTGTCCTTAATGCGGAGCTCCGATGCGAGCCAACTGCTGATTGCATCCAATCCCTTTTAGCTCTGGGCATCAAAACAGAAGAAGCATTGGCGTAAAAGCCCTGGGTGTGGCCTGGGTTATGTTTTCACCGCATCAGTTTGGCGATGAGCTCTAGTGTTTCAATTCTACTGTTTTCTTTCTGAACTCTGCTGGCTAGGGTTGCAATGTCGTAGGAACCAATTGTTTCTACAGAACCAAATGAAACAGTGTCCTAAGCCCTGGAAACCTGGAGTGTAGCCAGGGAAGGATATCTCTCTGCTCCTGGGCCTGTGTCTCCATCTGACACCCTGTTGTCTTTTTCTGTTTGATGTCCCTCTATGTCTTTGTCTTCTCCCTTGTTTCCCCGTATTATTCTCGTCTGTAGATGAAGTAAAGGAATTTACATTTTTAATCAACTCATCATTTCAATCTTTCGTCACAAAAATGTCACATATTTGCCGTTTCCAGCTTCTTAAATGGAAGGAAGCTTTCTCATTACTTATCATAAATGATAGTCCTTTTAAAGCTGTTAATTGAACAAATTAAACAATGTGAAGAAGACGTCACCCTAGGCCCTTAAAAGTGTATAGAGCATGTTTTTTTTGTGCATTTTACATACAAAACAATGAGCCAGTAAAAAAAAAAATCTTCAAAATGCTTTTTTTTAATTTGACATGATCAACAAGACAAATACATGAACAAAAAATTAAAAAAAAGATAACAGATGCAAAAATATGAAAAAAAATACAAAATAAATGCAAATGTGGAGAATAGAGAACAACATCCAGGAACAATTTTGGTGGCGTAGGGGATAGTGCGCGCACCATGTGCGGAGGCTGTGGCCAGCCTGGGTTTCGAGTCCGACCTGTGGCTCCTTTTTCTCATGTCGTTTCCCACTCTCTCTCTCTCCCACTGATTTCTGGCTGTATCCACTGTCCTATCTCTACAAAAAATGCCAAAGTCCAAAAATAAAAATCTAAAAAAATGGGCAATCCGGACCCTGTGGTTAAGCTGACACATGTAACCTTGATAAATGAATGGTGTCAAAAGTCCTCTGTCATATAAATAAAGGCGACAATCAAACTAACACAGCTCATACAGCCCCAAAACACGTTCAAATACAAAAACTGTAAGGGACTTTTTTGTTTGTTGATTTTGTCGCCCCCCTGTGGACAAAGCAGTCCCTCTTATTGCTTTGCTTATTTTGTCCTGTTCATGTGGAAGTCGTGGTTTTGAACGAAACTTCATCTTGCTTTTTTTTTTAACAGTAAAACGTATCTCTTGGCTGTAAAAAATAAAATGTATAATAAATGAAGGCTATCGCTGCAGATGATGCTAATCGCTTCATGGTCACCTCCCCCCTGGCAGCAGTTTCAGCAGTAAAAAATAACATTATAGTTATAGCCAACGTTATTGCCCTTGGTCTTGTTTGTTTTTGTATTGAATAAGGAGGCGTCAAGATTCATTTCAGACTGTTTCATAACCAGCTTAAAGCTACTGACAGGAGCTTTAACATTTGTGGAAGATTGATTGAAATGGAAAATGATCGTTAGTTGCATTCCCTTAAAACCAGCCCATACTAAAACCACACTGAATGTTTTAGGCAGCAAGGGTCCAAGTCCAGCCACATCTTATTTTATAATTTATGCTCTTCATATAACTTATGTGTGTCTCAACAGTCAAGTTGACTTCAAGTTATGAAGAGCTTCGCAAGAACTTTCATTACTTGAGGTTAAAGCAGTGAGCGCCTTTGAATAAACAAATGGTGGGTCTAAAGAAATGAAAACTACAAACCAAGCAAATATTTGTCAGCCAGTATTCACTTCAAACTTTACTTTGACGCCTTCTAATTTTCCTCTGCAGGATTTTTAACAACAGTGTTCTTTATGACTTGTGGCAGAGAGAGAAGCATGTTTGAGGTAATCCCCATGCAGCAAGTCCTTAAGTGCAGCATGGCTGTGTTTTCTTTCCCTCCAGGTTCTCTGTGTTTACTGTTCATCTCCGGGTCACTGTGTGGCTGTGGAGGATTGTGTGTGTGGTCAGTGGCTAAGCTGGGGTATCCTTAAGGCCTCTGATGGCTTGTGTATACAGTGTTTCCTCGGGGGTTGGGGGGTGGTGGGGGCATGTTAGCGGTTTCTAAACTTCACACACTCATGTGGTCCCAGTGTTTAGGGAGGACACATAAAAACACAGTAACAGTGAACTCCAATGGAATCTGTACTCAGGTGTTTGTGTTGTGGTGAAAAGATGAGGCTTTTCTTTGAAGGGATAGATGATCTTTCCTTTTAGAGATGTGTTATTTGTGTGGCTTCAAATGGACTTACTTTTCAGTCAGGGCTGCATGTGTATTTTGATGTGTTGTACTGTGTGTGTGTGTGTGTGAGTGTGTGTGTGAGTGTGTGTATATGTGTGTCAAAGATCTACAAGGTTGATGAGAGTGAGATATGTAAACCAAGTGCTGCCCCCGAGTGGCTCGAGGTGTCAGGATAACCATCAGATCACATGAACTCACACCTTTCAGCTCGCCTTCTGCTCAGGCTTCATTATGGCACCTAACCGATGATAATGAATCTCAGAGCAACGCTTCCAGTATTGCACCTTTGTTTATCTCTGTTCTTCAGTGGGTTTTTTTTTTTTTTTTTCACTGGAAATTAGCTAGAAGCCAAAAGTACAAAATGTTGCTTACACTGACCAGCTGTTCATCATAAATATAACAGTATAATAGATGAAACTCCCCAAATACGTAATGGTCAAAATGTTGCTATAAACAAGAAGATTTCCTGACACACCTGTTTAAATATAACTTTGAAGTGGTTTATCATCGGCTCTCTCTTCTCTCTAAAACTGTAAAATGCTGCGTTTTGTGCTATTTCACTTGTGTTTAATAAACCGTCCAGAATATAAAGCAACTTCTCCCATTGGTCAGGCCAGGTTTGTTTTTCAGATACATCCTAATATAGCGAGCAGTTTTTTCTCTGCCGTTTGACTTTTTGAATGCTGCTACTTTGGCTCAACAAATAACTTAAATAAATACATTTCCTGTCCGTACAAATCATTTGTACCCACTTCTTTCGATTTATTTGCGCCCTGCCCCTTTTTTTTTTATTCTTCATTGCTATAATTTAGTTGTCTCATTTTTTGGCATTCATGCGCTCTCTCTCGCTCATGCTCACTTGTTTTCTGTGTTAGTTGATCATGGGACAACATCCCCCGGCATAGTAATTACAGGCCAAAGGTAGGTCCAGGGAATAATTACATATCATTTCACGGTCTGGCCTCTGAGACTAAAACAAGGTCTCCTGCAGGATATTTGAGAGGACGAGACCTTTTTTTTGTGTGTGTATGTGTGTGGTTGTATTTTTCCAAGTGTGACATTTAAATCTCCAGTGGTTGGAAGCGGACTTCCTTGATTTGGTTTTGGAGAAGCCAAGTGGAGCTATTATGAAAAATCAAAGATGATGGGGGGGGGGGCACTCACTGTTGTTATTGTGGCTACTCTGTTTACTATGTGAGACTTTGTAAAAGTAGTGTAACTTTTCATGCTGTCTAAAACTCTTTCATCATTTCTTCTGCTTAAGGTTACAACACGGTGGTGCGGATCCCAGCTGGAGCCACGAATATTGATATCAAACAGGTCAGCTACTCCGGAAAGCCAGAAGACGACAACTACCTCGGTGAGTGTGCTCCGCGCGTGTGTGTGTGTGTGTGTGTGTGTGTGTGTGTGTGTGTGTTCTGCGTCTGTCAGTGCACTGATACGGATTGAAGCGACACTGTATCGAATTGCCAGTTTTCTTGGAAGAATAAATGCCAAATGGAAGCAGTCCAACCTGATACGATGTCTACGGTACACCCCTTCAGTCCTCCACTCATAGGTCAATGTCATTATCCCCTAACAGGACCATAAACCACCCAGACTTGGTGACCTGAAGTTGTACTGGCAAGCTTTTAGTGAAGGAGATGTGGGCCAAACTGTTGTCAAAGCATTTCCATGAGGGGAAAGGGAGCTGTCATTTGTACTCAGTGCGTATGAGGGAAACGTGGAGGGGCGTTGGTCCATCTGGACATGGCAGAGAGGCTCGCTTGGGAAAGCAAATGGAGTGTCAAACCCTGAGAAAGATAAATGAGGCAGCAATAGGTGCTAATTAGAGGCATGTGGAGCCCAGGCCGCATGAAAGTGGATATAGGGGGATAGGGTTAGATGGACCCACTGGGTTTTAGGTGTGTGTGCGTGTGTGTGCGTGTGTGAGACAGACAGAGAAAAGCAGAGAAAAGTAGTTTTGCCTGTGTTGTGAGGGCGGGTGTCCACTCTCAGATGGTTCAAGTCAGGTTCAAGATGTTTTAAGTCAAATTGTCAGGAAACACATGTGGCAGCGTCTGGTTGCCATGCTGCTATGAGAGGCTCCACTCCCGCTGTTTGCCTGAGTGCCACAGTCGCACACCGAGTAAGAAGTGTGTGTGTGTGTGTGTGTGTGTGTGTGTGTGTGTGTGTGTGTGTGTGTGTGTGTGTGTGTGTGTGTGTGTGTGTGTGTGTGTGTGTGTGTGTGTGTGTGTGTGTGTGTATTAAACGTGTTTGAGATTTTCCATGCCCTGTCAATATTGTCACTCCCACTGTTACAGTGTGTAGAAAAGATTTTGAGAAGATCATCAAGACATTAAAAAGGAGAATGTGCCTTTGAAGTGCGTCAACTTTGAAGCTCTCTTCAGACACAGTGGAAAATTTCAAATTGTAGCCACCCGGATGAATGAATTTGTTTCTCATCTCCATTTTATAAATATATTTTAAAATTGTGTCTCTATGTATTGTATTCCTTCAGCCGTACATCATGAAGCACGATATGAATACTGATCAGTAGCATGCTGGCTTTGTAAACTTTACAGACTCTGCAGATTGAGTATCCAATGCATTTATCTTTTACTTTTACTGGGAAAATCTTTCAACATGGGAATCCTCTAACTAACTGATTACATCAAAGAGAAAGCGTCTGTGCTTTGTATAGTATACACAAGTAAAGCACTTCATGGTCATTTTTTTAACCAGTAGAAAATTGAATTAGCCATTTTCAATACATACACTCCTGAAGATTTGATACAAAATTTCAGGACAGCCTGCCCATCTTTTGGCGCTCGTGCTGGTTTATCACCTGTGTGCGTAACTGTTTTGTAGGATTATTTGTTTGTTAATCACCAATGTTGATCAGATCATACAGGGTTTTAGAAGAACTCATGCTCCCCTATTCAAACTTTGACTTTTCAATGAACCCCAATATCATATCCAATCACTGTCTACACTATTACAGCAATAAAGTAAATACAAATCTGTAATCTTATATAACCTTAAAAAAAAATCTACTCCTGGTAAGCACCAGGCAGAGGAACATTTTGAAATGTTCATATATGTTTCAGTTTACTCCATGTTGTTTTTTTTTTTTCCTTCCCGCAAAGCGTGAATGATGACATCCAGAGACTGTAGATCATTGTCAAAATCCCAAAGACCCCACAGTTATTTCAGGGGCCAAAGACTGGCTGGCGTCTAACAATGTACAGACTTAAATGTAAACAAAGTTGCATCTAGAGACCTAATCATATGCATTGTTCTGGCATGCATGCTCTGATTAGCTGCATGTTTCTCTGAACCATGGGGTTTGAGGGAAATAAAAAAAGGTGTTTGTTGTTCAGTTTGGGTTTATGTGCTAGTTTTCTTAAAGTGAATGTCTGTCAATGTGTTCCTGTGTGTTATTAGTGTTTGCACATTTATGTACCTGTTTAGAGGGGAGAAAGAAAAAGGCATGTTAAGGCACGTTTATGTAGTTGTTTGTGTTCACAGTCGGTGGAGCTATCATCGTTTACATTGCAATGTCAGCTATTAGGAAGAGTCACTCAGTCTAACTCCAAATAACTGCAATTTCGTGCCACCGGTGTTTCAACATACCTCCCCTGAAACAATGGCTTAGCAGAAGAATAGTTAAGCAACTCAAAGACTGTTTACTTAACATATAGCGCCGCATGGTGAGTGCCACAAACGGTAAACATAGTCAAGACCTCCGATCTGCCTGAGCCAGCTCTTCTCGGGAACCAAACATTCCTCTCCTGATGCTGAATTTATGGTTCTGTCTTGGTTATTTCTTGGTGGTCAAATCTGATGTGTTTATCTGCTTGTTTCCAGCATTATCTGACAGCCAGTCCAATACCCTCCTGAATGGGAACTTTGTGGTGGCCATGTTCAAAAGGGAAATCACCTTCAAGGGAACCGTCATCGACTACAGCGGCTCAGACACAAAAGTGGAGCGTATAAACTGCACCGAGCGAATAGAGGAGGAGCTCGTTCTGCAGGTATTAAGAGGAAGCCTTCTCTTTTTTGTTGTCTCTCTAAGTTTGCCCTTTTCTCCCTTACAAACATACAGAGCTCAATCTCCTCTCCAACAGCGTGATAAGGCTGTAGACATAATAACAAGCGCACTGTTAAGTCTTTTGACCTCGCCTTTCCCACCATTGTCTCCACAGGTCTTGTGTGTGGGAAACCTCTACAACCCAGATGTCCGTTACTCCTTCAACATACCCATCGAGGAACACAGGGAGCAGTTTGTGTGGGATCCCTCAGGCTCCTGGCTCGAGTGCAACCGCAACTGTCAGGGTAAGCTTGACTTCCAGATCCCCATGCATAAACAACATTTTAATTTAATGGCTCCAGTGACTTTAAGGCTTAACATCTGCCCCCCCCCCCAAAAACAAAACAAAAAAACAAAAAACAACTGGGTGCTGTCTGCACAAACAAACCAATAAGTTCCTTTTTTAGGTACTTTTAGGTCTTAAAAGTACAGTATTTGTTCATGTGATTACCAATGTAAAGCTTTGGGATCTTAATGATGGACACATTTCTCTGCTGCTTTAAATACAAATATTCTGAATAAAAGTGAATTTTATAGGTTCCAGGTTGAGCTCTTAGGCTTTTATTACATAAAATATAATGAATGGATGTGGACAAGTGTCAGTGAACATAGAATTAGTATTTCTCTTGCATTGCCTACTCACTCATCCGCTCCTTCCATAAAATCCCACTCCTGGCAACCCCACTGTAACCCCGGCCAATCACATCCACCGACACCTTCCCCTTAGCTTGGCCCTTAACCCCTCTAAGCCCCTCAAACTTTCCTTGTAGTTGCAAGCTAATCAGGCACCCAGTGGGTCAGAGTGCACGGTGAGACTCAGTAAAGAGATGTATCTGTGAGGACCAACACGGTCCCCTCAGGCTGTATGGTGAAGGTCTGGATGTCAGAAAGCTGGTCCGACTTGTTAAAGGTGAAGAAATGTGATATTTTGGCAAGCGCACTGTCTGCCAGATGTTGTCTGATTGGACCCTGCTTTTCCCTGTGTGTGTGTGTGTGTGTGTGTTTGTGTGTGTGTGTTTGTGTGTGTGCAGGTGAGCGCAGGCGAAAGGCAGTATGCGTGCGCAAGAGTGATCACCTCGAGGTATCAGACCAACGCTGTGAACATTTACCTCGTCCTGTTGCTGTTACTGAGCCCTGCAACACAGATTGTGAAGTCAGGTACACATTAAAGCATAAAAAAAATCACACAAATGCACAGACACTAACAACACATCACTTCAGGGCACAAACATAGACAGACAGTTTTTTTTTTTTAACATCTCCTCTCATACAGGTGGCACGTTGCCGGGAAGAGCGAGTGTTCGGCTAAATGTGGCCCCGGCTACCGCAGCCTGGATGTTCAGTGTATGAAGTACAGCAGAGTGAAGAGGCAGAGTGAGAGGATCGAGGCCAGCGCCTGTGGAGAGGTCGTCAAACCTCAGACCAGAGAGCCCTGCCATGGAGACTGTCTACTGAAGAGCTGGCAGTACAGTGCCTGGTCTCAGGTATAGGAATACTCCTGTTATATATACTTTTAAATTGCAGACACAAAAAATTGTTTGATGGCCACCCCAAAAAACTTTTTTTTAAAGATTCTTTCTGATTTTCTCTATCATTTCTAGTCATGAATTATCAGTTTAAATAAAAACTTAAATGAACATATGATTAGGTGGGCTGAACTTGTTCGATGTTTATTCACACACAGTGCTCTAAAACATGTGGACGTGGGAGCCGCAGCAGAGAGTCGTACTGTATGAACAACCTGGGCAGACGGCTGGTGGACAGAGAGTGCAACGAACACCAGAGGGTTGTCACGGAAACCTGCAATGACCAGCCGTGTCCCAAGTGGACTGTTAGCGAGTGGAGTGAGGTGGGAACCCCTCACATGCATACATGCATACATGCAAACAACAACACTTTGAAGGCAGAATGAATATGTATACATCTTTATTCATCTCTAGACGGAAACTGCAAACCAAAAAATATTTTGTAATATGAACAAAATGTACAAACGGATAGTCTTGTCAACATTAACCTGTATTTATCCTCAAAACTCATTGAGGTTTTCCTTTATTTACAATGATGTCAAGATACAAAAAGTGCACAATTAAAGTGAAACCAAAAAGACAAATACTCAGTGAAACAATTGCACAGTGAGGTGAACTGATTTGAGACAATCAATATGAATAAGAGAGATGAGAGGGTTGTTATTGAGAATGTGTGATAAATAATATCTACAGTTTAGAACCTTTTACCAAATACAAAGAAAACAACAAAAACATCCCAAAAAGGAAAACTGTTCCATTAAGGTTAACATTGATTAAAATCTAATAGAACGAATGAGTACAGTTACATTCGGGGTCATTACCATAAGAGACTTTTTTTAATATGAAGACTCATTGTCTATTGTAAGAGGGATGTTCTTACTGTCGGTCAAATGATCTGCAAAGTGCCTCGTTGTTCATATGGGCAAGACAACAATGATAACCTTGAGTTGTGCTTCAATAAGGAAACTTTTTCATTGCACGTTTTAGTCATTTTTAGTAATTGTATGATCTATAAAGCTTGGTAGAGAATGCAAAATTTTCTGTTCAAGTCTAAGCTTAGAAATAATAAGTAATATTGTAACACATGTCTTATAACACCAAACACCCAAAATACCAAAACAATCAGCCACCTTAACTTTGAGAAAATCCATCTTGGGAATAGCTTTGCACTCAAAGAGAGAGTTGTGTCAGAGGTTTAAAATGTAATTCAGGGAGTTGAACAGATTTCTAAGAAGCAGAATTAATCAGTTTATTAGCCTATTTTAAAACAAGCCAAACATTACTATTCTACATTGAATCCTCCTTTTATGAACCTTAGACTAAGTTTAAATGAATTTGTTTCACTTTCAACATGCATACACACTCACTTAAACTTTAATGTTTGTCTTTTTGTTTACTTTTCTGCCATCATGCCATACCTTACCTCAACCTTCTTTCTCCCCCAGTGCCTGGTGACTTGTGGGAAGGGGATGAGGCACAGACAAGTGTCTTGCAGTGTGGGAGCCGGGGAGGAGAAGCTGAGCGAGCACTTCTGCGACCCGTCCAGCAAACCTGCAGCTGTGGGGAGCTGCGAGCTGCCAGATTGTGCATCCTGGCAGGTCGGCGTCTGGGGAGCGGTGAGTCCTGCACACACACACACACACATAAACCCACACACACACACACACGCACACACAGAAAAACACATGCAGATATGACATACTGGGGCGAAGTGACTTGATGCAGTGTTTCACTGAGGAAATGGGTTTCACGTGTGGCTAGCTGCCTTGATATCTGTTTCTCTGTAAATGTGTGTGCACGTGTGTGTGTGTGTGTGTGGTCGTCGAGGCAGAATGTTGAGTGTAGGACTGAGTGACGGTGTATATTTCGAGTTTGTGTGTGCACGTGTAACATGATATACCGGCAAGTTACGGAGGAGTGTGCTCTGACTCCAGCTGCCATTTCCTCCATGATGCTTTCACTTTTCCCTCATATCCTGTCAGACTAAACCTGAACCACGGTGCACACAACACACGCACGCACGCACGCGCACACACAGACACACACTCACATACATACATATACATTCTTTCAAATGCCTAAGCCTCCAAATATTTCTATATAGATCCAGCCTTGTTATGGTATATCACAGGCTGAATAAAACATGCATGAATGAGCGTCATAGTCTAGTTAATGCATGCAGATGTAATGCCCTCCCACATGTGTTTGTATGAAGTCAGATAGTTGTATTTACAGAGCTGGAATATATCGGCTCCTTAATGCCTGTGTAATTACAATTTGCTGCTCAAATAAACCTTTCCTGTGGAACTTCCTCTGCTCTCATGTTGTACCTGAATGCGGTCGGATCGCTTTGTATGTGAGTCAAGAACTGGGTAAAGGGTTGAGACTGTGTGTGTGTGTGTGTGTGTGTGTGTGTGTGTGTGTGTGTGTGTGTGTGTGTGTGTGTGTGTGTGTGTGTGTGTGTGTGTGTGTGTGTGTGTGTGTGTGTGTGTGTCTAACCCAGACTCTGCTGAGGTGAACCTTGACTGAGGCCCCGTCTAAGATATCAACCTTGACATACTTAGATAGAGTTAGAGATAGCATGCGGTCGACTGGGCTTCTCTCCTTATGTTTTTGTGTGTGTTTATGCATGTGTGTGATTTTTGTCTTTCAGTGTGCGGTGACCTGTGGCCATGGCTACCAGATGAGGGCTGTTAGGTGCGTGTCAGGGGACTATGGCGACACAGTAGACGACAGAGAGTGCAACGCTGCAGCCAGACCCAGAGACAGCCAGGTACAAAAAAAGAAAAGAAGTGAATAAATGATCACAAAAAAACAGCTCAATTAACCACAAGCTCAATATTCAAAGATCGACCTTATTTGTCCCAGAGTTGGTGGTTTGCTCTTGGGGTAAACACATTTAGTGCAAGTCATAAACAGCAGTACATGCTGCATACAGAATTGAATGCAGATGTCTTAAACATCATCTGAGGACACGATATAAAGATTTATTTTCCCAGGTATTAATAGAATTTTTAAGGGTTCATTTATCTAATTTTGTGTGTTTTGAATACACCTCAGGGTTGCATTTTATAATGAGCCGCCTCACTGTTCAGAGTATTCTTACACTTTTATACAACAACTGTCAAGTATTACTGTATATCCATCAAAAAAGACATGCCAGATATAGATCAGTGGGCTTCTTGAACTATAACCTTAAAGTAGAGCCTACGAGATAATACAACTTTTAAGCCAACTTCCAGCAGCATTCTCTGGCTACTTTTTGGGTCAGCAGAGCATGCTGTAAACACAACATTGGTTTGTTGTAACTTAAAAAAAATAAATTAATGATTTATACAGTACATCCAGTAGACTCCATAAGAATTCATTCTTCTAGATAGATACTAATATATGGCTTCCACTCACTCCTGAGTTGAAGAGCTGTGTTCACTAGCTAGCTGCTAACGTAGCCTGTCTTCCATTGCTTTCCTGGCAGGGATCATAACGCAATAGTTTGAACTTCTTCAGTGAACACAGCTGCCTGCTACCCTTACTAAGTTGTGGACCAACAATAGAGCCATTAATAACTGTGTTTTACACACTATTGATCCTTTCTACATCACATAAAGTCTTTGTTGATTGTAAATATGACATTTTGAGTGCTGCTTGAAATCTCATTGGCTTGGTTTGTACACTGCAGCAAGTCCTACAACAAGCAGAGCCAACTTATCGCCTCTGTACTTCCATCAGTGATCAGATATCAGTGACATAAACCAGATACTTAAATCTTAAATCAAGCATGACTGAGCAACTACTGTATGTATGAAGCAATTGCTTTTGTTTCAGGGTCACTTAGACTCTAAACCCAGAGCATAATCTATCTGGAAACCTGAAAGCTGAATGAATGACGTTAGTGTTTCATGTTTGTACTTGAGAAATCACTGACTGTATCAATCATCCACTGATTGGTTAAAAGTAAATCAACTTGTCTGCATAGTGCTGTTGATCTTTACTTTTTCACAAGGATGCTCCATCAATAAGATAACCTTGACAACTTCCTTAAAGTCCCCATGAAATAAAGAATACATTTTCCTGGTTTTGATCCAGCGTTCCTGTCTTAAATATTTATATGTCTCCCATTATCTGCCAAATATATTTCAATAATGAATTATCTCAAGTATTTTTTACATGCAAATAGCTTACCAAACTTTCTCTTCATATAAAGAGTTTTAAACATCTGATGACTCATCCTGCACTCTGGGCTGTCTACTAATTTTTGACCTATTATAAAGCTTTGTCGTAGCCAACAATCCAATTAAATTCATCCAAACACTGTGTCCCGTCTTCTATCTTGTGATTGATTGTTTTCATTTTTAGTAGGAAATACTTGATGACACAGTAGTTTGATACTCTCGAAGTTCTGTTTAATAGGGGCGATAAGACCCTGTCCACACACCATATGTCACAGGGGACAAAGACCTTAAGGCTGAAGCCCATCTAACCTGGTTTAGATGTACAGTATTGTATTAGGGTTCTTAGTGTTGAACTGACCTTTCAGTTTCCATTTAAGAGATCCGTTTAAAGCTGGATCCGGAATTCAAGAAATGGAACTCAACAATAGAGGATCTTTTTCCAGTAATTTTTTGGACTTTATGTCTTTCTCAACAACCTATTCCTTAAGGACAACTTAAGTTATTAGAGCACCACATGTGCTTAATGTTTGTATCCAAGGGAGTCTCCGAAATGTGTTTATAAGTACTTTTGGCATAATGAATCCAATTGCTTCAATGTAGTGATGAATGACGCACAATATTTGCTAATTTTCCTGTATTTTAATCTTGTTTTTGTAGGATTGTGAGATGCCTGCGTGTCCTTGGGCCTCTCCAGTACAGAGCACACCCCGCCCTGACAACTCTGCTCAGCTCCTGACTCAGTGGAGATATGGTTCCTGGACTGCGGTAAGGAAACGAAGAGGGTTATTGGGTCTATCAACACACATTGCAGCTGGTTGGTTTACTTCATAGAGTCCAATGAATACACAAAAGCAATTAGGTTTTTCTTCAATGGTAAACAAATAAGTATACCTGCTATTTATTGCTTTCTGATTGTGTAGCTTGAGGTGAAATGATCTGCTGAAAAATGAGAATACTGATGAAAGTTTGTATATGTGCATGCATGTGTTTCTGTGTTTCTGTGTCTTTAATAGAGGAAAACCACACTCCAGTAATGATGGGTCTCCTGCATGTGTGTTTGCAAATATAAGGTTAACTCATTAAAGTTGATTGTACAGCGCAACATTCCTTTAGCTATTACCCACAGTACAGGACCATGATCCTCTTTGGCATTGTCTCTTTTACCCCCTGCTGTATCTACATACTGAAACACACACACACACACACATTTATATACACAAACACACAGGCTCCACTGTCTGTGCTGAGAGGCCCCTCTGTGTCTCTGATTCTTTGCATTGTTAGTCGTCGCAAATGAAAACCAGATTCCATCTAAACACGAGTGTACGGTTTCGAGGATTGAACCTGGTCTGTCAATCTGAGAGTCGGCGCGAGCGTGCATGTCAAAGAGGCCAGCGCCAGTGTGGTCTTAATACACACATACATATTATACACACACACACACACTCGTACATTCCCCCAGGCAGCGGATCTGCCATACTCAGAGTGTCATTGATATGAGAGGGATATTAACGTGCCTATTCGAGGCGGAGCCATTTGATTGCATTAGGTATTCATCCCCTCTGAAAAGTTTACTGTGGAGTCCCGTTGAGACATTGGAGGTAAAGCAGTGAGGTCAAATCTGATTAGGGAGTCATTTCAGGACATATACTGCAGATAGAGAACTTAAATGCATTGATCTGTGTCACCAAAGAGAATTAAAAACACGTAAATCTAATGAAAATGTAAACTATAGCACTTTAAGAAATGTCCTTTGTTTCTGTTATGAACACATGATATGAGGAGGTATTACTACACTGTGACGAATTTGAACTAGGTGATGTTTTTTTTTAAAAATTTTATTCTTGGTGTAATCAACCTTGTCTGTGCAATCACAGCAGTAGGATCTGCATTTACAGCATGCAGCTACATGTCCGATGTGTCCTTGGGCATGTCACTTAACCCCAAGTTTCTCCCGCTGATTGGTCAGTGTTCACTTTACATAGAAACCTCTGTCCATCTAGTCCGTTCACCATGAACAACGAGGGATGCATTCCTCAAAGTTACACTCCACTTCTTTGCACTTTGAGTCAGGAAGAGTAGAATGTATTTGATGGCATCACTTTAGAAAAAAAACACATGATACAAACATGTTTAAGATTCCACATGGGACAAACATTTATCCCAGCTCTGCTTGTGTCTGCATGTCCTCCAGTGCTCGGTGTCCTGCGGGAAGGGGAAGCGAGCGCGTTATGTCAGCTGCAGAGATGCCCAGGGAGGCGTGGCTGACGAATCATACTGCGCCCATCTGCCCCGCCCCCCAGAGACCTCCCCCTGCTTCAGCCCCTGTGGCCAATGGCGTGCCGGGGAGTGGTCTCCTGTAAGTAAAGCATCCAGAACTGTGTCCAATCAATACAGATGTTTTCCACTCGTGAGTCAGTAATCACTCAGTTCAAAACAATGTTACAAACACCCTGAAACAAACTGGGATTTGTGACTGCTGTGATCTTGGACAGTTAACTATTGATTTGTGCATGTTTGCATGGCATGACAGCCAAAACTCTTGAGGATGTCACTTAAAGGCAACTGGAAACTCTGACATTAGGAACGAGGGATGATTTGCAAGGATTCTGTCACAATCCATTAACCATGCGTTCATGTGAAATGTCCTCTTTCTATTCGAAATCCCTAATGAAAGTTCACTGAGGACAACGTCTTGAGGTTGATTAAATTCATGTCATGTTAGGTTGATCTCCACTCCCGTTGTTTTCAGATTTGAAGACTCATGGGGCTTCTGATCACAATGCCTCACATCGTGAAACAATACATGGAAACAATCAATGAAAACAGCACTCCCCCGGACTCTTAGCTGATTTAAAATTGCAAAAACTCCCTGGGGAAGTAATTGGAATTAATCTTTTTGGGAAAACAAAGAGGAAATTTTGGAATATGTGGTGTTTAGAAAGCTCAGGATCGATACATTTTATGACATCAGTAAAGTTTTTGGTTTTTTTGCACTACCAATAAGATGGAAGATCTAGAACTCAGAGTGATTAATAAGGCTTACAAGAAAGTATCATTTTCTTTCAAATGTTTAGTTGTTTTTATATTTTGAATGACTTTTTCTCTGTTAGATTGAGCTTGGTTTTCTTCCCCTTGTCCCCAGTGTTCGGTGACTTGTGGCGTGGGGAGAGCCACCAGGCAGGTGGTCTGCTCCAACTACCATCAGCCAGTGGACCAGGCTTTCTGTGACCCAGATGAGAAGCCTGCTACAGACCAAGAGTGTACCTCTGCACCCTGCTCCTCTGTCTACCACCGCCAGCGAATCAATGACCAGCCCTACGGATATCCCAAGGACCCCGGGCGCCACCCTGGACACAGTAGCTGGAACGTGCCCTCAGCAGACAACCAGTGGAGGACGGGACCCTGGGGCGCAGTATGTTCAACACCTGATCTTTGGGGAAATGTGCAGGAATGTTTTGACTCGTGATAGATTTTGTTTTAGAAATTCCAGTCAGTACTTCCTCATTTAGTGTTTACAATAAACCAAGCACGGTTGATAGTCTTCACTCTTTTACAAACTTGTTTTTTTAAAAGTAGCTGATGGAGGTTGAATGTTTTTTAAAGTACTGCCGGCATGGAAACTACTATGGACAATGTGTTGTCATGTGTCGGCATGGAAACACATTCACCTGGTGCTCGCAGATATTTCAAATCCCAAGGCAGAAAGCCATACATGGTAATGGACTTTAAAAATAGCATCAAGGGACAGATTGCAGTGTATGCTATGGACAGCAGTATGTGTTTTTAATGTATATGTAGTGATTTAGGAATCTAAAGCTTCACAACCTAGAAATGCTCCTGGTTTGCTCACGTTAGAATCCCGATGTCTCCTGAGATGAAATAAGTGTTTTGTTTGGCTTTATTTGTCTGAACACCGCAAGAAGAGCCATGTCCCCAGCAGAGGCATTCATCCCAGTACGCTGTTCAGTCTCACATAATGAACTTGACTGGGAGCCGCTGCTGTTCAGGCTCACTCTGTGCTTGTCCTCCCTCACATATAGAAGCACTGAATGTACTCACTCCCATTGACAGTGGGGATGTGTCATTTTAATTGGATGCAGACTGTTCCTACTGCTCTGTTCAAGGCTAAGCTGATGTTTTCCATCTTTGGGCGATCATTTTGAACGGTGCAGCTGGGTTTAGTCGTGGTTGGACTCAGGTTAATTTAGCAAAACAGGATGTCTATGTATTGTGAGTATCTGTTTGTATCTGTGTGCCAGCATTTTGGCGCTTGTAAAGATTGATTGGAAACACCAGTGAAATCTGAACAATCCTTAATCATACAATAATAACTGGTATGTTTGTAAGTGCAAAAAATAACAGGCAAATACTTCGACTTGTTCTCACATTGTGGGCTTTGTAGAATACCGTTGATTTTGAGTATGTTTTTAACTATTTGAAAAAAAGCAAAAGCTTGAGCTGTGGTTAACAGAATCGAACAGCAGTGAAGTTTGAATCTGTAAATATGCTCAGCAAAGGTGGTGGTAGGATTAGGGTACCCTATTTTACAACAGCTAAGAATATTAAGTATTTGGCCAAAAAACCATGATATATTATTACTCATACAAGGACTCTATTAGATACAGTTTTTGGTGAATTTTTGCTTGAGGTTCATGTCATTCAAACTGATTGTAACCTGTTAGTTTGGCATATAGGTGTGTTCATGCACCGTAGCCACCACTGACACACTGTGTGTGCTCTGCAGTGTTCCAGTACCTGTGCAGGAGGCTTCCAGAGACGAGTGGTGGTCTGTCAGGACGCTGATGGACGCAGCAACAGCTACTGTGACGAGAGGGTCAAACCTGCCGAGTCAAAGGGCTGTGACTCTGGACCCTGCCCTCTGTGGAACTATGGTGTCTGGGGAGAGGTGAGTTTTTTAAATGCATATCTACATTATTTTTGAACCTAGTTACATTCTCCACAGAACCTTTCATACGTACCTTTTGTTATGTCTCGTTTGTCTCTATGTCCATGTCTGTGTTATCAACTTTACAAAGAAGTAGTGTGAAAAAACTGTATTTACAACTGGGTAGTAAAGACAGGTCTTCAAATACACACATTTTTGGGCGCAGATGGACTGGCGGTTAGGTCGCGCCCCATGAATGGAGGGCAGACGGCATGGGTTCAAGTCTGACCTATGGCTCCCTTCCTGCATGTCATTCCCCACTCTCTCATCCCCATTTCCTACTCTATCCACTGTCCTATCCAATACAGGCAAAAATACCCAAAATAAATCTTAATAAATCTTTTTGTTCGCAAACCTTAGTGTACCCTGACCTGCGGTGGAGGGAGGAAGACTCGCCTGGTGGTTTGTCAAAGACCAAACGGCCAGCGGCTCAACGACTACAACTGTGACATCCTGGACAAGCCGCCCGACATGGAGCAATGCAACCTGCAGCCGTGCCCGGGCTCTGCCTCGTGGCACCGCCGACCCTGGAAGCCGGTACGATAGTACTCACTTGTTTTTCCTCCGATACTTACCTTCCTCACTGAGGACCTGTCACTGTGAGTAGACATGGTGTGTGCTAAAAATGACTTCAGACCTGTGCACTGAGTGTGTTTTTTTTAGCCTAAAACTGCCGGAGATTCCAGAGTGAACGCTGGGTGTCTTGAGCCACTCTTGGCTAGCCAGCTCGAGCCCACCCAGATGGGCCCCGCAGTGGGCATGGTGCTGATTAGAATCAAGAAGAAAAAAAAAAGACAAAAATATACAAAAACACAATGCTGCTCCACTTAGGGAAACATTAAAAACACATGGCTCCCATTTTGAGCCAAGGCTCCAAACAAAACCTATAAATCAGGACAGAGTTGTCCAACCATGCCATATATCTTTAGAGAACATAACTCTGGAAATATTTATTTCATCTATGAGGCGTGAAGTAAATGTTCTTTGTTGTTATTGCTGTCTTCACCCTGTATCCCCAGTACACAAGTGTATATTTGTGTATAAGAGTTAATATTATGACTTTAATTGAACAGCCACAAATGGCTGTCAGTGTATGTTGTATATGTATCTTGTACAGTTTGTTTTTTCATGTAGCGTTTTTCTGAATATGATATTTAATATTTCCGCTGGTGCTCTCAGTCAGACCTCTCATATCTCTCTATGAGTAAATACAGTTTGTACAGAGGAAAATATTTTCAAACCATGTTTCACTCACTTAACTAAAGTTGAAATGAAATTAATGGCTTCATCTGTTTTAGGACTGACTTCTTTCAAAATATCTAAATTGTCACATTAGAATAGAAAATTATAACAACTGATACAAAATAATCTTTAAAATAATATCCAAAAAGTACATTTGAAAAAAAAGTCCTTGTGGCAAGAAAGGCATTATAGGAAAGTGTTTTCTTAAAATATTCATTATTATAAGTTACATGAAATATATTGTCCAGTAAACAATTGAGTATATATCTCAAAAGTAGCGAGCATAATGCTTATAAACTACACTGTAATAGCCGTTGGTACATATTCCTTCACCTGGTTCCTCATTTACACACAACATCAATCCACTGGGCGCAAGCAGCTGTTTTTGTGTTTTGTTTTTTTGGTAAGTAAAACACATGAACAAAAGAAAAAGCGACTCTAACATGCAGTTTAGAGTGAAGTTCACATATAAGATGAGGTGCTATTCAGTTCTATAATGGTGCATTGTCGGTATCATGAAGATAAACACCATAGCGTGTATATCATATATTCAGGCTTAGAAAGAGTTTATTTATGCTGTTAATGGTAGGCCGCATCATTGCAGCTTATCGACCACAGACACAAAACGGTCAGTTCTATTAGTCACAGTTTGTCCACAAAAACAACTTAAGCACACAGATACCTCCGCTTTATAAAGTTATAATCCTTTGTCGCTGTGTCTCTTTATTCCTTTGGCCAGTTTTTGTATTTCTGAAGGATTTTTTTTTTTTTTTTTTCAAATGAAACGTATTTATTTGTTTACAATAGATTATTACATGGTGCAGCTTTAATGACTTGTTCCAGTTCAGGTTGATGTAACACTTTACTTGAATTATTTGTCATTATGCACACATTTCACCTGAACACAACTGGTTCACAAGAAATGAGTCAAAAATAAATTTCATACATTTTTAGAGCATAGACTCTGTTTTTTCTCCATATAGTTCTTTGAAGGTCACATATTATGCAAAATACACTTTACCATGGTTTCTAACACTCATATTTGTCCCTAGTTTGTCTACAGACCGCCCAATTACGAGAAAAGATAATCCTCTCCATCTTTTACCTGCTCCACTTTTCAGAAAATGTGTGCTCAAACAGGCCGTTTGGAGATGTTCACTTTGTGACTTCACAAAGGGAAATAACCCCTCCCCCAGGTGGGTGACACTCCCACAGCTAGGTGTTTGTTCTGCCCTCCGTGTCTGCCTTTTCCCTATAAACAATATGGCATTGTGCAAGAAAGCCCAAACTATCCACTTTTTGAGAGGGGCGTGGTCAAACACAGCTCATTTGCATTTAAAACTGCAGACACAGAAACAACCTGTTCTGAGCAGGGCTGAAATAGAGGGGTTTATAGGCATGATAAAAAATACAGGATCAGTGTATTTATAACAAGGAACTTCAGAGACGTGTTTTGGGGAGCTCTGAGACTCATTTAAACTGGTTGAAAAAGGGGGATAATATGTGACCTTTAAAACATTAAGCTGTTGGCATAGACATGCAGGTAGAAACTGTAAATTATAGACAGGTTACAGCTTCATATTCATCTGACTCTTTTAGATACATCCACGTACAAAGAGTTGCTAACATTCGCTAAAATTGTTGATTTTGCGGATTTGAAGGCCACCTTGCTGCAGTGATGTAAATGTGTACACAGGATGTCAGTAAACGGTGACATCACAGAAAGGCGTGGTTACAGGTGAAAATAGGCTTAACACCCAAACTGAAGGTGTGCAAAAGAACTATAGTCTTTACATGAAGAGGGGACCTGGAAATACTGTGGTTTATACGAGTATTCATCGAGATACTCTCTTAGGTTAGTACATAGTTTGAGAACTCTTTTACAACTCAGAAATAAGAGCTCTCCCTCAGTGCTGGATCCACAGTCGTTTTTCCATATACAGTCTGAGTATGTGTCGAGTCAGGCACTCCCCTCACACTTTGCAGCTTTGCAAACTTCTGGCTCCTGCAACCAATTTGTAACCAGTTTAAAATGTGAAATGTAAGCAACAGGCTGATTTATATTTGGGTTAAGGCAACATCAAGTGATGATGACACATATGTCAGGTGAAGTGTTGCAGTTGGGTCTTTATTTATGTCGGGGTTCCTCTGTGTGAGGCAGTCTGCAGTTTCCTTCTTTGTTTCTTTGCTCTTTTTGCTGATTGTCATTCTCAACCAAGACTTCCACTGCAACACAACTCCTCAGCCATGACAGTTTTATTCCCACTCCTCCATATTTTTTTTTTAAATCCAGTGGTGCAAAGTTGCCAAACTCAAGGGAGCAACTCTACTTTATTTTGCATATTTTGGTTCGTTGTTGTTCTTTTTGCTATTTATTTCATCCATATGCAAAAAAATACATAAATGTGTTGAATTAGCATTTTTTTTCCCCATTGTAAATATTATTAAAGACAAATAACTGTGACATTTGTGTTGTTTCTCAATGCAGTATTTTACCGACAAACAGACGTTACCTTTAACAACATTAGCACCTGGTTTGTACTGGAAAGGAAGGGCTTGATTTATCTTAAGTTATAAATACATATAAATCCTACAAAAAGGTTTCTCTATTGAACAGCCTGACACGAAAGGAAAACAATAAAGGACACATTACACCGTAAAATAGTGACGCTTGGAATACATTGTTTATTGCATATACAGGGGAGCAGTTTTGGTTTTGACACAGAAGTTATTTAAAGTACAGCACCTCAATAGTACATTTATGAAACCCATATGCAGTTTATTTATGCAGTACATAGTGTGCAGAGGGAGTAACTGCAAACGGCTCACAGAAAAGACTTGACACAGGTCATTATGTGGTATTTGACCCTCAATTGACTCTGTTAAACTGCCTTTTTCAGTAGTTCTTAAAGTCATTAACTATTACGGTGCATGCTTAAATTCACCTTCTATTGTATAGTATCTGTATTACTCGCACACCTCAACAGAGTGCAGATTAAAAACACTGCAGGCAGTTTAAAAAAATAAATAATGTTTTATTCCGTTATCTCCCTGGAGAAAACATCCACAGTCCAAATCAAACTGGAGAGCTGGGTGGCACATCTGTTTACCATTGCATTAATAGAGCTCTCTGTAAAGTGTTTGGCAGGAGACAGCGTGAGCATTACTTTTACTACAGCAATAATTCGTATTAATTCATGATGGCAAGGGTTGTTTAGTTGAGGAGATCCAAAACCAGGCCCTGGAAGGATAATATTTACAGAAAACTTCTGGTTTTTATAACGCGTTTCATACAGTCCTGCTTTCCTACTTTGAAGAAAAGCACAGGCCAGACTATCAAATAATGCAGCGGTTAACGATATTCCATTCTGTTGACTCATTATTGACCATATCGCTTGTTAGTACAAAAAGAAACCTTGAATTAGCTTAATGCTATGGCGCCTACAATATATCTAGAAATGAACAACGATGTACGTGCTTGAGCGTCATCCAGTCGTGATCCAAATCTATCAACCTAGATCAGAGGCTTTAATCTGTTATGATATTACTCTTACACTCGTCACTCCCATCATAAGTTCCCGTCCCATCACGTTTTTTGATATCCATAATCACGTCATAGAACCAAAGATTAAACACTATTTCATTACTATGACGATTCTTAAGGAGCTGGATGCTCTGTTAGATCCAGGCCGAGTACAAATCTGTCTGAGGTTTTTGTTTTACATAACACTGTTCAAATATTTCCCATTGCCGCCGCAGAGATTGTCTTACCGCATGTAGTGGCCTCTTCTGTTGGTAGAATTCCCAGAAAGCGTGTCTTCACTTAATAAATAAAAAACCAATACCATCAGTTTGAAGCAGCAGCAGCAGCAGCCCATTAATGAAATTTATGTGTTGTCTTTATATATTTTATATTCAAAACTATATCTCTAAGTAAGTCTAGAATTTTACAGAATTATCCCATAGTTAGTTGAAATAACACATTATTTACTCCACTAATACAGTTACTTCTGAGACATTTTATCAGATCACTTCCCCTTTCTTTGTTATATCTTTGTCAGTCGTGGGCTACATGAAATAAACCTCAACACTTATTCATGCTGATGGATTTGTTAGCTATATCATACTACCGACAAGCGTCTGGTTGTTGTCAGTTACATATGGACACATATGTTTGAAAGTGGTTTTACCCATTTAGATAATGATTGGTTTGATTTCTCTCTTTCTATTAACCTACCTCTGTTTTCCTCCTTGGACCTTTATTTCTTCTCTGATCTTGCAGTGACATTTTAAGAATTTGTAACAGAAGAATTCAAAAGGCTATATTAATTTCTTCAAACACAGCTCATCAGAACACATTTGTCATTGGTAAAAAAAAAAGAGAAGACACGCAACAATTATCAGATTTATTGCACAAATGAAGCATTGCAGGCACAGAGTTCAACACACACTATCAGGAATGTAAATATCATTACCTAAAGGTGATTTCCTTAAAAGCAATGTTGATGTCAAATGTGAAAAAGCAGCAATAATAAGGCTGTGTGTGATGAATTAGCAACCAGGGCACCATTTGAGTAATTTATGCCTGGTTGTTGCTAACAAAAACACACCGTTTCCTGTCCAGAGCGGCTTTCCCATGGAGGGGGATCGCAGTCGAGTGTCTGTGAACTAATCATGCTGCTTGAAATGAAATCCACATGCACAACATTGACATACTTGACACTGGCCCGAGGGCAGTGGGCACGAACATTCTCCAAACCTGTCACCCTGGGGTCACTCGGTCGTGACATCATTGGGCTTGTGTTTCGTGATCCTGCCCATATGCCAGTGGAGTGTTTGAACCGAGCGCTGGAAGGTTCTTCTCCCCCCCTGTTGGTCCTTTCAAGGAATGGTTCTAGGCTTTAATCTTAATCTGAGTCGTGAGATAATGTTTCATTTTGGCCTTTGAGGGAAAAAAAGCAAGCAAAGCAAAATTGAGTTGCTGGTTAAAAGTCAAGCGCTGTGGCCCGCAGATTTTTGCAAACCAATAAGACTTGGAAAGCAAAAAACCAGATGGTGTGAGATATTATCTGAAAATTTACAATATTTGGATCACGGCACGGCTAGCTCATTGAGAATGAGAGTCTCTTTTGGGTCAAGTTGTTGGCTGGCAGGAAAATAAGTTCAGCACTCTGCACATTCTAATATAGGTTGTCTATGTCAGCACTTACATAAACATACTAATGAAATAATTGCACCTTAGGAAGTAGTTAAAGTAGTTTTTCTCCAAGTAAATCAAGTTTTATATGGCCTTAAAACAATATAGATGAAGGTTTGTTCAAGTATGACCAAGGTTCATGGCTAAAACTACATCCTACATGATCCTCTCAAAAGAATTCATAACCCCATACTTCTTGTTTGGTCGAGGAGGCTTTTCTGTTAGGCTTAATATGATACATTTGGGGACTTAACTCTGTAAATCATGGTTAAATAAACTGGGACATTATGTTTGTTTTGTTTTTTGTAGGGGGCGCCTTGAGGCCAGTTAGCTTTGCCAAAATCTAAACTCCATATTGAAGTCCTAATCCCCCCAATTGGGATACACGATCCAAGTTTAATGACTGTTAAACTACACTTAGCCCCTCAGAACAGAACTTCATTTGTCACACAATTTAGAGGACATTTTTTTTAGGATTGTACAAGAGCTAACAAAATGTTCATCTCTAGGTCTTGGGTTAGGGTTAGGGTGAGTTTTTTTTACTCTAACCAAGATTGAGGCCAATTGGCTAAATCAAGAGTTCATTAGGCCATTTCAAGACATGGACGCCAAACTAAATTGAATTTTCTATGTAGGACATTGGAAGAAAGAGGAGCCCATGTCATTGGGCTAGATGTTATTTTGTGTTCTGAGTTGCTTGCAGATGCAGGGAGATGAAATAAGAGGAGACAGGGCGTGAAAGTCTGGAAGCATTTAGGTTGGTTTCATCAAATGACAGTGAACATGTCCTCGCTTTGACTCAGGTAAAGACAGCCTGCTTTTCCTCAGCTTGTCGGTCAAGTATTATAAAGTGGTTTTAAGCCTCTTGGAGTATTTTTTTTTTCCTCACATGAGGCGACCACGTCAGACTGGATGGGGCCGGTGCCTGTTTGGGCCTGTCGATGCTATCGAGGTGATGGAGTGAAAAGGAGCTTTTTCCCCTCTTGAGGATTAGACAGTGATAGATTGGGTGTTTAAGAATCAGGGAATCAACAGTCCATCTTTTAAGCTCTAGTGTGTAATGTATTTGCTACACTGCTTAAGACATTTAGCTCTACTTGTTTTGTACTATTTGAGTACCTGTGCTGTTCAACTGCTAATTAGCTACTACCTATTAGACCTGATTCTTTGGATCATGTTAGCGGGGCAACTGGTCCGCAAATGTCCGCAACTTCAAGGATGTTAGCTGCACTATTTAAACATTCTAAAAATCCAACAAAGAAACTTTTTACTTTCTCCAAAGTCCGATGTAAGATTCTGTTTTTTTTTTCTGCCATGAGTTTAAATCCCAAAGAAGTAAGACAAAGAAAACCAGCAAATCCTCCTATTTGAGAAACTGAAGCTCTAAATATTAAGGATTATTTTAAATGCAGTTTTCTTAAAAAGGTGTTTTAGGAAGACATTTTGTGTTGGGGTTTTGTCTTCAGTAGTAACTTTTTTTGTATTTTTCTGTTCTTACTATTGAGTGAAGCATTATATCCAATTTTCATTGTCATTCATTAAAATGACATAATAATGCTGTATTTTGCATTACATTACGAAACAGTGCATCATGTATTTAGGACTCCTCTAAGTGTCAGAGAGTGGGAATATTAAAGACAGAATCTTTTTTCTTGTTCTAGTGTCCACCATTAATGTGAACTCTGTTGGCCTACAGAAGAATCTGCCTTGTTTGTAAGGTGTTTTTTAAATCCACAACTTGTCTTTGTGATGGACGTCTTAGACAGTCTTAGAGTCATTGCTGTGCTTCAGTTTTTTCCATGTGGCTGTACATTGGCATGAGGAAGGAAAACGTTTTTTAAAATGCTTAGTAAGTAAGATTTGAAATGCATTACCATTTTGAAAAAGTCTGATATTTACACTTTATTGCTATTACAAATAGTCCTCTGCCTGTGGATATAATTTTAGATTTTCCTCTGTTTCCTTCTTTCCCATAAAAAAATAATTTATCATTATACTTACATTGTTTGGGTACCATTTCTATGCTTTTGTTTTCTGTAAAAATAAATGCAAGGTCATGATCTTCCACTCTCTTGAGCTTTTCCATATTCCCCCCCATATGCAAGCTGGGACAAGCTGTTTGCTTTGACAGATTAGAAAAGCAGCTGTTTAACATTTAGCAGGAAGAGGAAGTCAGGTTTAAATGTCCTCTGTCAAAGGTCAATACTTTATAACGTTACGGCTCTGCTGCTGTTTGTATTTTTCAGGACCTGTCATTTAGAATTTGCTTTTTTTCCCTTCTTTTCTGTCGTAGTCCTCATCTTCCTCACCTGCAGCAGCGTACTGATGTGAGCAGAGCTGCAGTTTCAGTAGAACACAGTCACGGAAAAAGCTCTCAGTGGAATGTTTACACAGTCGGAAAAAAAAAAAAAACCTGGTTGTTTTGTCATTTGGTTTTGACTTATGGTCGCTTGGTGTATCTTTACTGAGTGCAGTTGACTTGAAAAGGAAATCATGTTGGAGAAACTGTATATGCCTACTCAACTGAGTGTTTATTTAACGCTTTAAAGATGGCAAAGTCAAACTTTGGCATGGAGTGCAGAGTATGCTGTTTAGTTTTAGCCAATCAGAAGAGGGGCTGCAGCTCCTGCAGCTCACTGACTGTCAGGCACTGAAGTGACAGAGACAGGAAATTATTTCCATATATTACAATCAGTCCCATCCTGCGGAGAATAAAATTGCAAAACCAACATGTCACATCTGAAATTCATCACTTCACTGTTAAAACTACACTTACATACTTGCATAATGTTTCATTGAATTTGTTTTTTTGTTTAGTGATTAAGGATAAAGTTAGCTGGTTAAGTTGATCATTAGATGAGTCTGAAATATATATATATAAAAAAAAAAAAAAAAGTTTTCACACTGCTTCTGAGTGTGCTTTCTGGGTGGTTATTGCAGCCTGATGGATAAAAGATCTATGACTCTTGACATTCCTCTGCCCCATGACGCCCCTCTTACCAGCTGCTCCCATGTTGACAACATGTGTTGTTTTGACTTCTGTCTTTGAATCCTCCTTGCAAAACAAGCCTATGAACAGAGAACGCAGCCTGAATTTTACAAGACCCTTCACCCTCCTCCCTCATGTCTCTTTCTTTCTCTGATTTGCAGTTTAATCTATGATCCAGAGAACATTGTGATACTTATGATGACGCTATAAAAAAGAAATAAAGCTATCAAACAGTGCACTCTGTTCCCAAATATTACTCCTTCTCCTTAGCTGGATTTGATCCCTAGATTAAAAATAAACTGATTTTGCACAGGCATTGTTAAACAGAGAGAGCAGCTATCTTTTGGCTATGTATCTCTCAGCCTTGACAACATGCAGCCCAGGGTATAATTCTACACTCCCTTCACACTCATGCAAGTTTGTTCTTGCTCCGGGTCAGCACTGAGCTCCTTTGAAGAGTCCATGTAGCTACAGTTACCATATGCTTGGTATTACCAACGTCTTGCATTGCAAACGTGCTGCAATGTGATCGGAATTCGACCTTGGCTCTCACATTTTAAGATATGGCCTCAGTTAGATCCACTAAGTGTGAAAAAAAAACACACCAAAACCGTCTGATTTGGGGTCTTAACTTGCCTCTTTGCCGCCTTTGATTCATACTTCACAATGCATCCTCTTTTCTAAACCTACATGGTGTATTACAAACTTTGCCAAATCCTAATTGCAGATTTATTTTCAATATTTTGCAAAAAAAGCATCATTTTAATTAAGAAGGCTGAAATGAAATAAACCATCATGTTAGACATAAATGTTCAGCAAACGATGTCTTCATCACTGATCTTGCAAAATATGACGTTTGTCAAAACTTAATTATGATGTTAATAAGGTTTTTGATGGCCAAGCTCCCAAAATAAACTATTGTTTTCACAACAGCACTCAGTTCTGATGTTACCCCCAACCAAAAAGACTTTTATAGCATAATTATAGTTCTTACAGTAATGAGTGTTTCCATACACTGCTTGAGGGTTAAAGTGATCAGTGATAAAACACATTCAACACAAAGCAGATCTGATCTGAGCCAAAGTGTTGGTTTTGTGGAATTTACCTTCTCTCTGTGAGGTTCTGTGCTGTACGAGCTGCTTTGATTGCCATTTTGGCCGAGTGACAGATCTTAAAATGCCAGTTGAGATTCTCTTAGATGTCTAAAAGTTTCCATGTGTCCTATTGGCTCACCTGTTCACGGGCAAAGCGATGGGTGGGGTCATGTTGAAGTTACAGCCAGTCCAATCCTAGACAAAAATGTTAATACTGAAAAAAAAACAAAAACATGATGGTTCTTTGCTGGAAGAAAGTTATATTCTTTCAATTTATTCAAAATCAGTCCTCTGTATTCAAAACTCTGTCCTATTTTGTTATGGTTTTAGCACACAACAAAGGCATACATGAGCTGGGTCTGGTTTAGCACTCAATTATGTGATTTGTTCCAGAGCCGTGATACTCTTTCAAATCTAAAATCCCACTTTGGAGCCACTTAGCAGCGAGAAATTAAAAGCAGGGTGTTCATTACGTCTGGCTTTAGATATCAATTATGCCTTTTGGTGTGGAAATTCAATTCAGCTTGTTTCGGGAAAAAAAAAAAAAGCTGTTTTACTTGGCTGATTTTCAACTTTGTGCCAAATCCAAAGCGGTTCAGTCATTCCTTTTTATTAAGTAATCCACATTATGCCTACAAGAACCTTGCTGGATTATGCTAGATTTAGCCCACCTAATCATGTGGAATTAATTGCTGGGACAACGTGGGAGGGCAAACCTGTCTCAAGGGTGTTTCATTTCCCATGTGACCCATTGATCTTTTTTCTTCTTTTTTTTTTTACTCAAGGACTTGTTCTCCCCCTGCATGTTAAAGACACCCCGAGAGTTTCCCATTAATCTAAAACGCTCACAGCTCCGCAACACATTAGCATAGCATCAGGGGTGGCAAACACAACCTGTCTCAACTGAATATGTCATGTCGAAGTTAGAAAAAAAAAGTACATGTAATTCTCTCATAACGTTAAGTACGCTCTCATATATCAGGCATCAACTTTCAAAGAACAAGCCAACATGCATATGAAAGTTCTCTAAACACAAGCACCTCTCTTTTTTTTTTAAAGAATAAGGCAGCTCAACGCTAACTTGTCACACACTTTTAGCTGCTGAAAACAAGAGATAAGATGAGGAGTCTTACCTGAGTGGGTGCTGGTGAGTGAAGCCACCCAGCTGTAGCCCGGTGCCGCAGAGGTCCCTGAGTCCTTGCCCTCTCTTTGCTCTCAGAGGTGAAGCTGTCCTCTGGTCCCACGAGCCGTGCCAGCTCTCTGTGCGCTCTGCATTACCAGCCCTGATTAACTAATGGCTGACAGATGAGGTTGGCAGGGTGGAGGGAGGAGCACCTCGCCATATAGCGTCTCTTCTTCCCACCGTTAAAATGCAGATACAGTTCAGCTGGGGGAGCACAGCCCGTATGGCTACGATTTCCTTTCTTCCTCTCTTTTTTTTTTCCTCCTGTTTCTCTTTTTTTTCTTCCTCCTGCTTTTACAGCAGTAAGGAGGGGCTATCCCTCTGCCTCATCACTCCCCCCCCCTTCTTCTTCTTCTTCTTCTTCTTCCAACATGTTTGCTTGCCTCTGCTCTCGTCTGAGGTAGAGGCAGTTCTGTTATCATTTTTGAGTGAGTGTGCAGCGGGTATGTGAATCTGCAGTGCTCAGGACCAGTCACTCAGCTCCAGCCTCGGCTTTGATGTTCTCCGTCAGCTGAGCCAGCCCTGTGTTTAAAATGCCTCAATAATTACAATGTGTCTGATGCATGTGTGTGCAGTGTCAAGCACAGTCTGCACCGCACTTTTAAAAGAAAAGGCAGGAGGTGGCTCTGTTAGAATTGTTCAAATGGAAACTCAATCAATGATCAGTAAAAAATGTAAACTGGAAGAAAATCTTTTGAGCGCAAAGAAACTTGAGAAAAAATGAAAACTGCCCTAGATATTTGCAAATTTAGGTTAATTTTGTCCATGGTCTATCATGTGTAGAATGATCTCTACCATGAGCACTCAGAAAACAAATCATGTGTTTGCCGTTATGCAACATTTCTGGCATCATAATTAGAGGACAATGCAATATTATGTTTATTATCTGGACTGGAAAATACGCTAAGAAAAAATGTATCTCTCCTCGTCTTGTGTATTCGATTCCAGCACCCCATTTTTAGAGCAGCTTTGTATGGGGGCGCTCACTCGTCAAGCAGAAATAGCGGGCACGCTAATTGCTGTCTGGCCTCATGGGGGCCGAAGACTCTAGAATATTTTCATCTCCTATCTCTTTTTCAGAGCTTTCATCAGGGCGGTTTGGTTTTTTTATTCATCATGTTTTTTTTTCTCCTTCCTAGTATTCGTCATCTCTCTAGCTTCTACTGACTTATTTCTAATTTAGTTATTCATACCAGATGATCGTGTCGCCGTGCGCATGCATCAATGTTTCGCCCGCCGTCTTTTCTTCCTTCTCCCCCGGCCTCTGCCTGTCCACAGCAGCTCTTAAAGTAATTCCTCTGTTTACAGGTTAAATAGCTGGCTGCATTCCATCAGCGTGTGAGTGTTTGACTAAAAGGTTTTGGCCAAATCCATTTAAGTTGTTTGGTTAAATGTGTTTGCAGTGGGTTCACTTGGCCATAAAATGCAACAAGGAAGCTGCTGGGTGCACCGAGTGAACCTTCGCTGAGATCTAAATAGAAGATATGCAGTACAGGGAGAAAACATTCAGTCCCACACCAATGTTTACGTCTGTGACTCTGTGGATGTCCTTCTTTGTGTCCACTTTCTCTGGAAGAACCTAGAAATGTCAGGGCTTCTGAAAGCTTTAAATTTTAGATTCTGCAGCTGTGCCTCAAAGCCAGCGAATTGAGCTGATAAAAAAAATGGATAAGAGAAATGGAGGATTTAATGTCTTTACAATGTAACTAAAATCATTTTGTTGCCATGAGCATGATCACCTTCTTCAAATCAAGAACTTCCGTCGTCAACAGAACTTTGCTAATGTTTCTCTAATTCTCCCATCCCCTCCCCCCCCCCCCTCTCTCCCCAGTGTTCAGTGAGTTGTGGTCGAGGGACCAAGCAGCGGGAGATACACTGTGTTTATCAGAACCAAACCAAAATAGAGGACGAGCACTGCAGTCATCTGCCCCGGCCGCGGACACAGAAGGCATGTCGGGCGCGGGGATGCCCCAGTTGGAAGGCTAACAAGTGGAGTGAGGTATGTTCCCCCCCTGTTTTTGCCATCTTTACAGAACAGTCTCTTGAGGACTTTGGTAACTGAAACTGCTGCTAGCAGCTGAGACACAAGCACAAACACAGCCAAAGGCTTCCCACAGGCTGCAGATGTAGGACATGTACACACAGAGCACCTGTCCAATCACTGCTCAGTTTATTCTTGTTCTAGAGTAATGTGTGGTTTCCTCAAGTGTGAACTAAAAAACCCCGGCCTGGATCTGAAACAATGTTTATGTGGTGCACTTGACATTTAGATGTCATGTTTTCAGACAAAGTGTGTAAATAGTTGTGTAATGCAATCTCAAGTACAAGTTTATGCTGCAAGACTTTTCCTTTTGAAGCTTTCTTTAAGCAAAAACACCGAAATAAACATGGATCAACATGTTGTAAGAGCTTTGTTGGCTGCATTACACACAAGCGTAAACACAGACAACACGAAGGTCCAGAAGTGCAGCTGCTTCATCCGAGCGCGGCCCCCCCATACAGATGAAAGAATGATTCTAAAATGACATCAGTCCTGGATCACATCCTACACTAGTGCAATCAGACACTGGCAGGGCAAAGGGCGAACATAGAGGAGTCACCAGGGGAGGGGGTTAGGTCACGTTGTAGCCGACCACACAGCCCTGATACCTGCTACCAAGAGGACATGCAACTCATGGCTCTGAGTCATGTTGAGCTCCCACAGGGCGGAAAATGTTTAAAACTGAATTTATCAGACGTTGAGGAGCATGAAAGGAGGAATGCTCTGCCATGCTCTTTGTCATGCTGTGACTGATTACCCAGAGGAACAAGCAAGAAGATGGATGTTCAAAAAAAACCCATGAACACAAAGAGCTTACATTTGGTATCAGCAAAACCTGAAAAATCTGTGAACTCAACACCGACATTAATATATCTTTATCCCGTTTTTTAAACGTCCTTTTTGCATCAATAACTGTTAAATCCTAAAACATCTATGAAGACCTACATCCACCTCCCTCAATTCCCACTCCCCAACCTCTCTCTCTCTCTCTCTCTCGCTCTCTCTCTCTGTCCCCGGTGTCTGGAACCAATCATCTCTCTCCACATACCACCAGCAACCATGAAATCCTCAACCAGAGCAGAAAGACATGTTTTATATCTTAATATCCATGCATGTGACAACTTAGAAACCTCAGCACCCTCTGTTTGAGTAATTCCACAGCTACCCGGCCCTCTCGCTCACCTCTGGCTTGGGGGTGGAGGGGGCAACGGGTAACATGTTGGAGGTCCTGGGTGGGGGGAGTGGACTGATTATGAGCCAAGGACACTAAATGGTTGTTTATAATTCTGTGCGCGCTTCTTTAGTTCATATCTTAAATAATTGTTAGAGGGTTGGTTTTTCCAAGGTTTAATCAATTTTCTCATATCTCAAAATTTCACCAGGAGCATCTGTGTTTCACTGAATAATCCACAGATCAGTCTGTCAACAGGTTTTATACATTCTTTATTTTCAGTAAAAGTAGCTCCAAGAATAAAAATCAGTGTGTTTGGTAGATTGTTCCAAGCAAAAGTTTTTGCTGTGAGCAACATAGAGAAAAATAGTTTGCATCCAGTGAGTATGGGTGACAGCAGAAATCTAAAACAAAAACATTTAACACTTAACATTTAACTGATTGAAGTCACTAAAATCAGGGAAAAGATATGTGTTGTAATTTGGGTGAACTGAGCCTTTAACATCTGCCAATTCTTACTCAACATTATAATAAATGAACTAAACAAATTTCCATCACATCTCCACTGCCTTCCCACTGACACAACCTTGATTTGAAGGTCAGATTTCTTTTGTTACCTTTTGTTCTCTTTCCAAACTTTGTCCTCCACATTCACTGCACTGATAAGTCACCAGTCAGCGAGAAAAACACAAATACACAAATACATCTGGAGGTTTCTCAGGGAACTGGGAGTCTCGCTGTATAAGGCAAAGAGTTTCTCTCTGTGTGAAATCGCTGAGGCTTGGCAATGTCCTTTGAGGTTTGTAGAAGAGTCGGCGAGAAATCAGGAAGATCAGTTCGAGCTTTACAGAGTGCTTCCTCAGTAGGCAGGTATGCTTCCCCAAGTACATCAAAGAGATGTTCCAGATAGACCTCTGTGTGACCTCAGATACACGTCAGACAAAGAAGCAACACAGTGCCTTTAAATTTATTAAGAACATTATTCAGAAGTAACAAACTCATGTTTGCTCAAACAGAGATTTTACTATTTGATCAAACATTACTGAATCCGCTTGCTTTCTTTATAGCTCTTTTTCTGCCACTATGTTTTTGCATATCACAAAAAAAGATTCAGATTCCCAAGAAGAAATGTTTATGTTCTGCCAGATGTGTCAGCCCAACATGGATTAAGAAGCTAGATATGTTAAGTTGTCATCTGTTTATCACAATCACCCAGACACATACTGTACAGTTTGCCAAAAAAAAGTTTGCTCTCTTGCTTTGCTTCCACTGTCCTGCAGCCAAGTGCAAATAAAGATTCATGTCACTTGTCTTTGAGCCCTCCAGCCAATGCTTTAAACTTTCAATCCAAAACACAGAATCATACTTATTAGAAGTAAAAGATGTCAACACCTTTGCATACATATCTTGTATAATGGTTTGTAGCACCAGAGGATCGTACTTTTTGCAATAATGTGGTCAGCCACTGGAATTAATTTATAGAATAACACTTCATCTACATTATTCATCACATTCCCTCTCAGCTATGTACCCCAATAAAGATGGGTTTTTAGTCTATTGAGTCAAGACAATCTTTGGACGTCAATATTAGATTGCCATGTATTTACAGAGTCAGTTCCAAATTTTTAAGGGAGTCTTTGTTGTTGTGGTAATATATTATGTCTTTTATTAGTCTCCTAGGGGAAATTCCGGTTAACACTTATTGAGAGACATGCTACTCACACACATAGGCCTGAAATACACACATGCACAAACAGGACTTATCGGCATGCATTAGTGGAGAGATGTGAAAGTGGGGTTGATACACGTGGAGTGCGTCACAGAAAGCTGTTGGGGGTTTAGTGCCTTGCTCAAGGGCTCCTCTGTAGTAATTTGTAAATTTGTAAGTGACTTGGCATCTCTCCAACAACTAGACCAACTTCCATACTTTGGTCCACACCACTTCTTGACCCAGCGACCCTCCGGTTCCCAAACCAAGTCCCTACAGACTGAGCTACAGCCACGCCACTACTGCCCCCGAATTCACCAGTGCCTTTGTGTCTATTTAAAAAAAAGTATATAGTTTTACTTTCTTTAGTTGAGTATGTCATGTCAACTCATATACTTCTTAAAATGCAGGGTTGGTCATTTTCGAAAACTGGCATGATTTTTGAAAATAGCATTCCCTCAGTGCTCCG